GCTTCGCGGGCCATGCGAGTCAAACGCAGGTCGGCATTGTCGGAACGAGTGGAGATGCGGTATTCGCTTCGCGTCGTGAACATGCGGTAAGGCTCCGATACGCCCTTGGTGATGAGGTCGTCGATCATGATTCCGATGAAACCGTCTGACCGGGTCAAGGTCAGAGGTGATCGATTCTGCGACTCGAGGCCGGCGTTTGTGCCTGCGATGATGCCTTGTCCGGTTGCCTCTTCATAGCCGGTTGTGCCGTTGATCTGGCCAGCGAGGTAGAGACCGCTGATCAATTTAGTTTCCAGTGTTGGTCGTAGATTTCGCGGGTCGATATAGTCGTATTCAACACCATAGCCGGGCTGGAGCATGATTACATTCTCGAGACCGCGGATTACCCGCAACATAGCGTATTGCGCGTCCGCGGGCACGGTCATCGAGATACCATTCGGGTAGATGACGTCGTTGGGCGCGAAGCCTTCTGGCTCAAGCCAGATCTGGTGCTGAGTCTTGTCCTTGAATCGGATGATCTTTGACTCTAGGGATGGACAGTATCGTGGCCCGCGCACAGTCTCACGGATATGGATGGATTTGTCCAGGTTGGCGCGGATGATTTCATGGGCAGCCTCGTTTGTATGGGTCATCCAGCAAGTAAGCTGGCCTTCGTCGCCCACTGCAACAGTTTTGTTGAGATAGGAGAAAGGGTGAGGCGGCGAGTCGCCCTTTTGCACTTCGAGGGCGCTAAAATCAATAGTCTTCCTATCCAACCGGGGTGGTGTGCCGGTCTTCAATCGTCCCAGTTGGAAGCCAGCTTCTCGGAGGGACTTGCTGAGACCATAGGTGGGGGCCTCGCCCATGCGTCCCGACGGGAATACATCCATTCCAATATGGATCTCACCACCCAGGAAGGTGCCTGTAGTGATAACCACGCGACCAGTAGGAAGGATCTCCCCGGATTCCAACCGTACGCCAACAATCTTGCCCTGTGCACCAGGAATATTCTCAATTCCCTCCGTAGAGAGCACAATGTCAGCCACCTTGCCCTCCACAATGCTCAGGTTTTCCGTGCCGGCCAGCTCCTCGGACATGTAACGCTTGTAGAGATCGCGATCAATTTGCGCACGCGGTCCCCAAACAGCGGGCCCTTTGGAACGGTTCAAGACTCGAAACATGACACCAGCCTTATCGATAATTCGACCTGCAACGCCATCCATCGCATCCACCTCACGAATCATTGTTCCCTTTCCAATGCCGCCGAAACTGGGATTGCATGAACAAACACCGATATTCTCCAACGAGGGTGTGACCAACGCAGTGCGCGCGCCAGAACGAGCAGCAGCAGCGCATGCCTCAGATCCGGCATGGCCTCCACCAATAACAATAACGTCGTATGGTCTATCAACGAATTGATTAGCATAACTCTCCAGATTGACAACAGGGGAATCACGAACCGTGTATTGTCTGTAACAGTCGCGAAACCACGACTCCGACCCATAAATGAGCGGAGCCCGCGGCTCTGACACATCAAAGCCACCGACCGTGCTCGAAAAGCCATAGCGGGGTGTGATGCAAATATTAACCAAAGAAAGCCAGGTACAAGTGTGAAGATCAAATCAAATCGATAAGGAAAATTGTATCCAGATCACGTGACTGTGTTTATAACCGTTAACTCCGAGGGCGGTCACACCCACTGACATAATCGCTTGCGCCATCGACCAATTGCGGGGCTGCCGATGTAAGTTGTACAAGCTGATCACCTTTTTTCTCCGACAGATCCCTCCCTGCTTCTCTCTTTTCTTAATCCACCAGCTCATCAAGTGAAATAAGATACAAGAATGAAGGCATACTGGTACGACAACATTGAGGTAAATAAACCCCAATTGACCGTACCCAACTTTTCAAGCATTTCCAGGCACAGCCCACCTCAGAATCAACAAACGCTGATGTCATTTGTTTACAGGGCGACCAGCGCGAGCCCCATGATTCTGGCCGCGCCGTGTCAGAAGATAAGCTCGCCTCGCTAGGCGTGTTCTACAAACACTGCCCGACCATCGAGGCGGTGGACATCATCGCGGCCGAGCGTGGATACCGTAACCGCGACGAGGTCTGCGTGTCACCTGCGACTATGGGTGCCGTGTATGAGGAGAAGGTGAAGTCGTTCTTCTCAGAGCATCTGCATGAAGACGAAGAGATTCGGTATATTCTCGACGGGGAGGGATACTTTGATGTTCGTGGACAGGAGGACGAGTGGATTCGTATCTGTCTTGTCAAGGAAGATATGATTATTCTTCCTGCGGGGATTTATCATCGGTTTACTACCAATGAGCAGAACGTATGTTTTGGATATTTCCGGTCATAGAATATGGGACTGACATTCTTTGCAGTATGTTAAGGCCATGCGTCTTTTCCAAGACGAGCCTAAGTGGACGCCGCTAAACCGTGGTGCCGATGTTGATGTTAACCCGCACCGAAAGACCTATCTGGAGAAAGTCGTCAGCCACACTGCGGCTGTCTAGGATATACCACTTTGATATTGAGATGCGTTATGATTGATTCTTTGCATATATACTATTTGAACGATGGAAATTGAAATTTAGGATTCTCTTAAAGGATTTTACTTGCATGGTGCTTTTAAATGTACATTGGGGATAGCAAATCCCCAGTAAATCAATCGGAACCATACCTTTGTTGTGAGGAATGATCGAAAGACACTTTATACTTATATCAGTTGTCTGGAATGCCAGGTGTCCCCACCGGCGTCCCCGCCGGCATTGCACCAGGCATATCAAAATGCTCACTCGTAGCACCGGCACTCTCTTGCCTTGTCATACTCGAGCTGCGCAAGCCACCCATATCAACGTTGAAACTACTCGTGCGCGAGCCAGCGCGAAGCCCTGGCCGTGCACCCAAGCCCCCACGGAACCGCAGTCCCTCCGGCTCCCGGGCATGTTCGTTGGGGAACAGAGGCGGTCCGGATGCTTCGGTAGAACCCGGGCTACGCGGTGGTGCTGTGGACCCGGCATCCGAGTCCTCGCCTGGTCGGACGCCTGTTCTCCCCATGCGCGGCCAGAGGTCTGGAAGTCCGACGACTTGCACTCGAGGCTCGACCACGCGCTCCTCGAACCACGCGTGGACTCGCGCTTCGATAAGCTGGGCTATCTTCGGTACATCCTGCAATCGGCTGCGAGATCCGATGAGTGAGCGCACAGAGAGGTCTAGGCGGTAATCTGGGAGGAAGGAGATTGCGACGTTGCTTTTTGGGCTGCTCTTTGGTGGGGGCTGATCTTGCGAGCTTGTTTGTTCTCCAAGACCAGAGGGTCGAGTACCATTGTTGTACACTGGGTCTGATGTGGGAGGCACGGGTGACCCAGCAGGGGTTTGAACTGGTTCTGGCGGCTCGGTTGATGCTGGGATTAAGGATATGCAAAGTGTTCCTGAAAACCTCACTACCGAGACTGATAGTGCTACTGGGAGGATGGCAGAGCGTGGTTTGGGGTAGTTCAGAACCATGGATGTCTCGATGGCAATGGAAAGATTGTCGTCGCTGAGGTCGACATCCAACAGCGCTTGTAGTCGTCCACCGTCCGACATGGGATCGTCAACAGCAATAATGCGGCAGTTGCTGAAGATGGGAAACTCTTCGCCTAGTGAGATATCGGTGACAGTTATCTTGTCTATGAAGGATGGTTTCTTCTCCGGGTTGTTCATGGCCGCTGTAAGGGAGTTGAGGATTGATGAAGTGGGCGAGTCCTTAAGGGAGTAGGCCGTCTCCCTGTACTGAGCAATTGTTTGTGCAATGAGCACATTGAACCAGTCCAGCGACTCGGGCTGATGTGATGAGTGATGCATGCGGTGTCGGCCATGTTTGCTAGTAGGGTTGGTAGGAATGGCGCTATAGTAGGTTTTGCGGAGGATGGAGCGAGTATTCGTAGAGGTGGAAGGTACGGGACGGAGAACATTCGATGTGGACGGTTTTTCTCGTAAGGATTTCTGGCTATCTTGAGGAGGGTTATAGACCGAGCTGTAGCGGCGGTGTGTTGTGCGATTTGACATGCCCCGGGACGGAGGGGGAGGCGCTTCACCAAAAATGAAAAACTTGATGAAAGCGCCAATCAATAGTACTACTGAGAGCTGACCGAGAAGAAACCCTTGGGTAAAGGACAAGCTAAGAGGTGTTAGCAAGCTCCTATGGTCGACTCCACGGGCAGAGAGCGTACGAAGATTGAGGCGCGAATTGCGCGGGCTCATCTACATTATTATCAGCACACCAATTCCACCATTTGAGGTATCACTACTCACGTTGTTGGAGCGCCATTGTCAGCGGCCGTTGACAATACTTGGTACTATTCACATTCCCATCCCCAGATGGCGAAGAAGTTCCAACTTTCGGATCTGGCTTGGCCGAACCACATCTCTTATCGCTGATGTGCCGCCCGCGACCGCCTGCCTCTCAAAATTTAAGGAAGTGCTCTTATCCAGTTCGGGCCTAGCGTAATTGGGCTATAAAAGACGATTTCAAACGTCAAGTAGCGGATTCAATGTTTCCCTATTTCTGCTTTAATACTCAAGCCTTTTGGTCTCAGAGTTACATCGAGCACCCATTCTTCGGGGTAATATCTGAGGTACCGGGGAAACCTATCCTCCGGCAGGGGTACCATAGACTACATATATATAGTGTAGCATTCACGGATGTCACTCTTTGTCGTAACCACACTCGATGACACTAAGATCCTGCAAGGTACTTAGTACACACCCATAGGAGATTGTCTATTACCTTTTCACCTGAGTTTGATAAAACCCCTGAGCATCTTGATCCCCTTATCGATCGTCGTCTAAACGCTCTGATTTGCACCCTCATTACGAACGGGGTATAGCCATGAGCGGTCCAAGTACGGTTTAACATTAAACTTGAGGGTCTAATGTGACACAGATACTGTGGGTGATCTGTAATTCTACTAACCTGCTGCCAGTTCTGGCTTGACCCCACACCACCATGCATAACGCATTGGCAATCATATGCTCCTGGGCACGCCAACCTCTGCCAGGGATTCCGTCAAACCCAACCTGACCCAGTTGTCAATCTCCTTCATCGTAGCCACGGCAATCACCCCCAGCATGCCCAACGAATTCACCCCAGCCTCCTTGTTGATTCCTCCTCGTCTTCTCGGCAGCACGATCATCCATCTCTTGGTAAGAATCATATTATGCAGACAGACTGCTCCAGGCGGTCCACTCGTCACATAGTCCCCGCCTGCCTTTGTACTTTCATTCAGCAGGGCTTTGTAGACTCCAAACAACACTGCGGGGGTCACCTCGCCCTCCAAGCGTCGATAGAACCACTCAAACGGAACGTTGGGCTCAGGCTCGTCGGAAGAATCCAGGAAGGCTGCGAAGCTGTCTGCCGGTAAAGGCATCAACTGCATATGTTTATGCAGCCGACTACAACCGCCATTTTGGCCGCAGTTATAAAAGGCAACGTAGTCTCTCTCCATGGAGATCAAGATCTGCCATACACCGTCTAAATCAGCTTCCTCAAGTGCCTCATACTGTCGTTTGTATCCATCACATGTGAGTAGCATGAGGTGGGGTCGCGCAAAGCAGAACTTGTTCACGATCAAAACGTGGCTATGTAGCGTGCCGAGTTCGAAGCCGGTGGTGCTAATGTCGCTGCCTTATCGCTTTTCGGGTCTTTGACTCTCAACCTCGGGCTGGGACTGCGGGGTGGCTAGGGTGGGCTTTTTGGCGAGAGCAGACGTAAGAATAAATTGGAACTTGGTAATTATGTGAGTATATATCTAATTTAGAGTCTAGATGGGCAAGTGATACTTTGAGGCTCCCATCAATGTGCTCAATGGTTCGCTGTTTGTCATCGTATAGGACGAGACCGGATTGAACGAGGCTGTCGAATTTGGAGAGGACGAGGGTTTCTTCCATCTTGGTGAGCTGTCTACCTGTGCTAGACGTAGGTCTATGGTCTATATATGTGGCTGAAGGTGGGGTAGAAATCCCAGCCCCCAGGCCCCAGGGGGATTTCAGCTTATCTACTCCGTGTAGTTTCGGTAGTAGACAATCGCTTGCACTTTTCCTATCTCCCGATCATTTAGATCATCCTTCATCTCACCTCCGGAAGAATGAGTCTAGTGGTATGAGGGTAGTACTAGTTTCAATTGAAAACCATTGTAATGGAATATATGTGACGTTCATTATCAGAACGGTATGCTGTCTATACGACTTATAGGCCTCTTCCTTTGGATGTTGCTAAACACCATCTAACACTATTCTCGCGACGTCCTGGATACGTTCACCTATATCCAAGATTTCCTTTCTACTTGTTCTGGACCAGATGAGAAAATAAGCGATAAAACCAGTGCCTCCCACTGGTGACACGACTTTCTTTAACGCGGTCCGTTCAGCTCTAGTCACATAGGGCGCGATTTCCGGTAGCTGTTGAAGTACTCGCTCGCAAAAATCGTCGGGGACCCGGATGTTTTCGCGATGCACAGGGACAAAGAAGATCTCGCAATTGTACTGATTATGAGAGCTGAAAGGCTGAGCTAGAGCGGCGAAGCGTTCATGATCGTCGAGAGCCCGAAGGATCTGGAGAGCACTATAGTCTACTCCGAAGGTGTACGCGACCGCAAAAACGGCCTGGAGACCGGGAGGCCTGGCATTGACCTCGATAAGAACTACCTCCGGCTTGCAGCTCGCAGTTGACCCCGTGTGTGTAAGTTCGACGAAACCGTCGGTCTCTTGGTACCGCATGGGAGAATTCTTCACTCGAGCTTCGAGGTGAAAGACGCCCGAGCGAAATCCTAGCTTGAGAAGTCCTTGATACAGGGATGATTCAATGGCCTGTAACTCTGCAGGGTCCAAACGACTGGGTAGGATCATCACTGTCTCGGCAAAATTGTCGGCCACAGAAGCATCTATTGCGTCTGCTTGACATGGGAAGTTATCCGATATCTCACAGAAGAGAAGTTCTCCGTCCCAAAGCACAAAATTGGCATCTACCTCTGGGCCATCGACGTAGGTTTCGATCAAAACCCCATGTTTCGTAAGCCCAGTCTCTTCCAATGTTTGTACGGCCTGACGGAGGCTCGAAGGGTCTTTGGCTTTCTTAACCCCCCGGGAGCCACCACCCTGACATGGCTTTACAATCAAAGGGTACTCAAAAGTCTGAAGCTGTGTGGCTACGAAAGGTTCATCCAGTTGGGCTACACTGTCCAAGAGCAGGCTCTGGATATTTGGACTGAGTAGTTGCCGTGCCTCGTACTTGTTATGAGCCTGCAGGTATGAAGCGATAGGCTCGGTTGGAAGACCTAATATCTCGGCTGCTTTCACAGTCGGCAGAACAAACTCGTCTGACAATGTCAGAAGACCATCAAATCCTTTTCCTTCCACGGCCTCGGCAATCCTACGAGGTAGCTCCGCATCGTCGGTCACATCAATGGGAATGAAGCCATCCCGGATGTAAGAGTATGCCTCATCTTGGAGCCAATGCCCCGGGTGATCAATGATAGTCATGGAGATATCAAGAGCTTTAGTGGCCTCGTATGCTCCCTGGTGACCGAATGATCCTTTGGCGATGTCGAACGCCGGACGCCCACCTACCATGGCGATTTTGCGTCGGATAGGCTTAGTTGGAAGTATCCAATCGAAAGAGAGTCGAAGTCTTAGGTCTTCCTCTACCAGCTCCTGGGGCAATGATGGGATCTGCTTCAGAAGGAATGCCCCGGGGGAAGAAGGCAAAAGAGCCATGAGAGAGTCGTCTGCTTGAGCTGGAATCGGCGAAAAGCCATCATCCGGACAAGAGAACGGAATAACAGAGTCCACATAGTCCGAATCTCGCAGCCTCAAGTTGAGGATATCGCTCCTGCAGGGATACCCACCATGGGGAACCAGTATCAACTTCGTTGCCACTTCAAACTTGTCGCGGGATGCTAGGACCGTGTGGACAAGCTGCTCGAGGGCGGTGCCTGCGGCGGACGGAATCTGACCATCGTCGGTAGAATACGTGGAGGTAATTGTCAAGAACAGATCAAGACTTTGAAAGAAGTGTGGTGTCTCAACTATCGGTTTGAACCGCCAACGACAGGAAACCTTTGTGGAACTGCGGTAGTCGTCTTAATTAGTGTAGTTTACTCACGTCAATAATAGGAAAACTTATACCTTCGCCATCGACGGCGACCAGAAAAGTTTCAGAGGCGAATGCCATTTCACCGATACCACTCGAGTCCATGGGCTTTGTCTGCCTTGTGGATGCTTGTGGGTAGTCTCAAGTTCTCTGAGAAAGGACTTATATTGTCTCCGCCACAGGCCAATTAAGAATGACAAGCCTTGGAGACCCCATCAGTGCCATACTGCGCCGTCGTATACGAGACGCTAAAGGGGGTTACTCTGTACTAGGATTTCAGGATGCATACAGGTACAGGTATCCAAGACGCTAATTACGGGATGTAACTTACAATCCACACATAACCCACCAAATGAACCTCGGGAGCGTCGACGCCAAAAAGGGGATATATCGCATGCGTGGCGCCAGCCCTCCACAACGCTTAACTGTATTGAGTGGAGTTTCAACGCCTGGAATGTTCGGCTTCAGCCCCAAACGGACTTACCCCTGCACCTCGATGGATACCTTTGTTTATTTGTAAGGACCTATCACCATGATTCGCTATCTTACGCTACCTTACGCCATATGTGCGGGAGAGTGTTGTCAACCATCGGAACATGTCAATATCTCATTGGTATACTCCACGCATTACATTATAAGTACACCCCGAGCACAGACCCAAATGGAAATACCCTTGTCTTGTTTCGGGCGCTCAATGCGCAGTAAAAGCAGCCTAGCGTTAACAGTCAACCGATACTACGTGGCCGCCCAGCCCACAAGTTCCCATCACATCCGTATGCCTCCAGAGAAGTGCCAGAGTTGCGGGTTTTGGTCCGACTAAATTGTCATACGGGAATTTTTATCTTTCTTGATCCTGAATTGAACAGTATGGATGTCCAGTCCACTGAACGCGAAAGACGAGATGCAACCGAAGACGAAATCAACACCTTACCCCATGTGGTGGATTCGATCCCGCTTATTGTCTGGATAGCTCTCATAGCTGGTGCGTCGGAAAGATTTACATACTATGCCGTCACCACTCCATGGCGTAAGTGTCTAAGTTCTCTAATGTGGGATCTAAGAGTCTAAACTGCCTTTAGAGAACTATATGCAAAATGATAGTGATAGTATTGAGGTCCCGGGTGTTCTTGGTCTTGGTCAAGCAACCGCGACGAATATCTCTAATGCCTTCTTTTTCTTCTCCTTCATGGCCCCGCTGCCATTTGCTATCCTCTCAGACGCACGGATAGGGCGTTACAAGACATTATGCATCTCTTTCATGTAGGTTATGCGTACATTCTCATATGCAAGTTAGAACTAACCATCGCTAGCCTGAATACATGTGGATGTATAGTGCTTTTTGTCACATCACTTCCAGTTGTAACCCAAATTTCCATCAAAACTTTTGGATTGGCTTTTGCTATGGTCCTGCTGGGTCTAGGAACTGGAGGCATTAAGGCCACCGTCTCCCCATTTATAGGGGATCAATATACAGTTGTCACTCCACAGTTAGTAGTCACAAAAAAGGTGAGAGGGTCATCGCGGATCGCACATTGACCCTACAATATATATACAATGTCTTTTATTGGTATTGGATACCCCCTTACAGACCCTCTTACCTGGCTGATCTCGTGAAAGGTTCACAAACATCGGAAGTCTCTCTCTGATTGCTTCGACTTATTTGGAAAGAGAGGTTGGTTTCTGGGCTGCCTACCTCCTCCCGTTGTGTGCTGTCTGGGTTCCCATTCCTTTGTTGCTGTTTTGGCAAAAATCATTTGGTAAGTCTTAGGGACTTGTCTCCTATCATTCAGTAGCTATACGGTCCTAGGATTACTAAGACTTGGAGAAAGTCAAACTCCCGCCAGTTGGGAACGTTCTGCCACAGGCAGGAAAAGTCATTTTATACTCTGCCCGAGAACGATTCCGACTCTATGCAGCAAAGCCTGCATTCCAAGCAGAGAAATACGGTAGAACCGTTTCATGGGACAATCTATTTGTCATGGAAATAAGAATGGGTCTCAAAGCCTGCAAAGTCATGTTTGTCGCCGTGTCAGTTGACCAATTGACTTCGCTAATGTTGGACCCAGGGCTTGCTTTGTACCATTCTACCTATGCATCAACCAAATCAACAACAACTTTGTCTCCCAAGCGGGTCAGATGAAGCTGGGATTTATTCCTAACGACACCATTCAGGCACTTAACCCTATTGCCTGCGTGCTGCTCGGCCCGATCATTCAAAAACTTCTGTATCCCGGTCTTCACAACCACGGTATAGCGTTCGGGGAGATCTCTCGTATGACCTGGGCATTTATTACGATAAGCTCCTCGATGGCCTTTGCTGCAGGGTTGCAAAAGCTGATCTATACGCGGGGACCATGCTATGAGTATCCGCGGAGTTGCCCTGATTCTGATGGGGGAAAGATACCGAACAATATCAGTGTCTGGGTGCAAACACCATCATATTTTCTGCTTGCATTTGCTGAGATCCTGGGATTTACCACTCTATCCGAGTATAGCTATTCAAAAGCACCCAAGGACATGCGCAGCTTGGTGCAGGCCCTCCGACAAGTTACCGCTGCCATTGGATCTGCTTTGGGCATGGCGCTCTCACCAGTTGCGGTTGATCCAAAGGTTATATACCTATATACGGGACTAGCGGCTACTATGATTGCTGCTGCTCCCTTTTTCTGGGTGGCATTCAGAAATTATGACAATATCGATGACGAACTGAATGAGACTGGGCTAATACAGCCAGATAGCCGTGACGAGATGGAAGAGACTACGATCAGAGCGCATCCATAAGAGGGCCGTATCTGATCTTCTAAGATCTGGACATCATTGTCATGTTTACCTGTGGACATATCTCTTCGTTCTCCCTACCCATCTCTCCCGTTCTTCCTTTCATCAATCACAATTTTTACTTTGTTGAGCGGTGTTATCTAATCTTACTGTCGAATGGAGATGATACAAACATTACATCAATTGCTTGTTGCCATACTTCGGTCTTGTGTGGGCAAGCCAGAACGGCTTGGCCAGTACGAGCTCAGAGGCCAATTTGAATGATACTGTGGTAAGCTTTCAGGGTGTGGGATGATTGGGAACTCCGGCGAGGATAGGCCGTGTCATTCTCAATGTAACATCTATTCCAACATACATAAACGCATGTATCCCTATCGTGATTCGTTTCAAAGTCCAGTCGCAAGGTGACCTTTATCACATGCGCGTGCCATTTGCCTACATAACTAAAAATACAATGCTAATTACATGTAAGTAGCTATCAGCAGACAACATGGTTCCTACCTCTGTGAGATCTTGTTGGGAAAGGGATACACGATTCTCGGCCTCATTCTCTGCTCAGAGACGGCGGATCCGGAATCACCCGCTCCGAGAAGGAGTGACCCATCATTGAGGGGACATGTCTGATATGGGCAGACTTATGCAGATCTTGAGAAGCATCCAGGATATCGACGAGATATACCATCTTACAGGGCAGTTTCATGTTCGAAACACCATTATCGACAAGTACAAACAATGCGATTGGAACACTTCAATTGCTCGAAGCTATGAGGGCCCTTAACTTGGGCAAGACCACCAGTTTCCATAATCTGAGTACATACGTCGCGGCAGTCAGACGCTAATCGAAAGCTATATTTAGGCTGCTTCCTCCGAGCTGTATGGATCGGACATGCCCGCACCACAAACGGAAGAGACCCCCTTTCACCCTGTCTCACCGTATGACACAGCTAAATCATTCCAATACTGGACTACTGTCGATTTTGGGAAGTGTATGGCTTGCACGCTTCACATGGAAACACTTTCAACCATGAGTCTTCCCGACGGGGTCAGTAGATACACACATTGTGCGAAATACATACTCCTTAGATGTCTTAGGGCTCGGGTTCTTGACCAAAAGTTTAAAATCCACTCGCGTGGAGCCTCGACGGGTGGAGGGGCAGCCTACAGGTACAAATAAGATACTAGACCATAAACAGACTAGTGTGATGGATTTGTATTTCCATTGGCTGGCCTGGCCATCTGCCCCAGTTTGAGGTCCGTAGTTCCGGCTCATAGATTGGGGATCTGCAAGCCTAGGACTTTGAACCCTGGAACCCATACTCCATAGTTGTGACAGGTATTATGTAGGTACCTAGGTATGCTTGGAAGGATCTGCAAGGCTGAACTGACCGGGCAAGTATAAAGTACCGCCCGACGGTCTAAAGGTCCGGGAACCGGACTCCGGTATTCGTTCGTATTCAGATACGCTGAGAATACCGATACCAATCCAATACAATTTCCATTCATTAGTGTACCGACCACACAGGAACAAAAGAATTAAAGGGCAAAATATGCATCATAGGTGAGCAAAATGCATCTCCAGAGCTGGTAAGGTGCTGGCCCTGTGCATTCTCGTGAGGAGATATAAACCGGGACAATGGGGTACTCTCGCATATTTTTGTCTTGAACAAAAAGATGACTGTCACTCAGGATAATACGTTTGATATGCCAAGGTATGTGCACATCCATCTTCCTTGTCTCATCTATCATCTATTAGCTAAATGAACAGGCGTCTTCGAGTCGCTAAATATGTGACCTTATCGAATGGCATGTACTCTATTGTCAACTACTCTCTCTAGATCTGGTAGAATGGATAACTAACCAGCTCAGCTCTTTGCGGAGGCGAGAATAAAACAAGATATTCTAATGCCTATAACGATGCTCAACCCCCGTTAGTCAACGGCATTTGACATTCCTCGCTATATTCACATTCATGCACCAATTATTTATCACAGTCCATATTTTGATATTCGTAGGCGATGAATTCGACTTCGACGGAATGATAGCCAGGTGTCGTAATGGAACCTTCGAAATGGGAAAACAACTCGACAGCCTCTCCGATCTTGTTTGTAAAAATACATCACGCTCTTCCATTTCACAATTGCAATAAACTTAAACGCCCATTGATCTAATTAGATTGAAGCTTTTAGGCTCAAGGGTAGACTATCGGATTATTAGTAGGACGATTGAAATCTAGATTCCAGATTTAGAGGTACTATCTCGCATCCCCTGGACCAATTGACTTCTAACCTGCGGAGCTATTATTGTGTCTGAGCTCTAGCTAACGAATTTCATTCAAGTGGTGGGAAGGTCAGTCCTTACGAATTCTCATTAAGTCAACATATGTAGACATGTATTTGAGAATCTAGCGGCCCTGAAATCGGGACATTCCGATGTTCGTGTTGCTCACTATACATTGTGAGAATGGCACAACTATCCCTCACACACGCAGATCGTGTAGGCTTTTGCATCGTCTCCTCTTACTGGAGTATCGATGATCTTCGGTGCTTTAATAGCCCATCAACTTAGCGGTCGATATTCCCCTAGGTCATACGTCTGAGATGGTTTGGTGCTATCTAGCTCCTGCGGGAGCAGCTTGGCCGCTTCTCGATTGAGACATTAGATGTCGCGTGTGAGCGGCTGAGGAAGTTGGCGCAATATATTAGACCTAGTGTCCATTTGTAGACTGGAAATGTTGTTTCGCTTTAATTTCGATATTTTGACTTCTTATATGATAGTCAATACGTTTCAATGACTTAGATATACCTATGCAAGTATTTATTTATATGTTAGGCTATTTGGTTGTTTAAAAGGTGACAAACTCTATTGTATCTGATCACAACGTTTGACCGAAAATATAACGGAACGACCCTTTGAGAAGTCTAAAAAAGATTCAAGGAAATATCCCCTGTCGGAAACCAAAACTAGAAAGAAATCTGCTTATAGATACACCTAGAGTTGACTCGGATCTATGTCCTTGATCATGGAATGGTAACCCTCTAGGGCTTAATACGGCCATGTTCCCAATGCTTGCAGTTTTCGTTACGGATTTCTGTGACAAAACTTGACTCTCAACTTCTGGTTCTAGTTACGGGTTGTTTCCCGCAGCTCATGTGTGTTGATGATAGACTCTGAAGCTTCAGCATCCGATTTCCTATCGGTCGAGCCAACGGTATGGAGCGGCTTCTTGCTGACCATGAAGCTGGATAGGAGTCCAACAGCCGCAACGCAGAGATAAAGAATCCACATCGAGCGAAGACTTGCGACATATGCACCACGAACGGCGTCACGCTGGCTAGCGGGGAGTGACGCCACCAAATCCACGTTCGCTTCCGCACTGGCCCCATCGAAATGGGCGGCTGTCTCACTTCCTAGTATATTTGCAAGAACCTCAGAATGACTCTGCATACCATGCTGAAATACCATTCCTCCTATGACGACCGAAAGGGAAGTAGCGATGTTGCGAATGAACCCAAATGTTGCAGTTGCCGTTGCAAAATCAGCCGGGTCAATATGGGACTGGAGTGCGATCAACGGAGACTGGAAGTTCATACCCACTCCAAGTCCAGCTACAGCCTCAATGACGGCAATCTTAGCTATAGACATTTCATAATCGAACATGATAAAGAGTCCAAATCCTAGAGTTAGAATCGCCATTCCAGCCCAAATGGGCTCGCAAAAGTGGCCTATTATAAATAGTCAATATAGATTCCCCCGCTGAGAGGTGATAAATCAGACGTACCGGTGTGTTTTATAATGAATCCAGTTGCGATCCCCATAAGGCATTGAACGATAGCAATGGGAAGGATGAGAACGCCGGATATCATGATTGATGTGCCTTTTGCGGCTTGAAAAAAGAGAGGGAGGAAATAAAAAGCGGAGATATATACCTAAAGCGTTTATCCACATAAGCAAAATTTACCTCACTCAAATTGTCAGGGCAAATGTATACTCACAAATCCGTGACAAAAACAGACCAAGAATGCGGCCACATTTGAGCGGTTCTTGAAGAGCCGCAGTGGCATAATAGGGTGTCTTGCATATTTCGCTTCACTGAGCACAAATAGGGGCACCAGAATAGCCCCAAGTACAATAAGACAAATGACCGTGGGTGACTTCCAAGGAAAGGTCACCCCTCCAAAGTTCAAGCCCAAGAGAAGCATCAAGGTGACCCCTAGAATGGTGATTATACCTAGCCAGTCAATCCTCTTCAGGCCTAACCAGAAGGACAAGCGGTTCGCTCCAGCGTCGACATTGAGAAGCCAGATCAAAAGAACAAATGCCAGCGCGCAGCAGGGCAGATTAATCCACCAGTTCCATCGCCATGAGACGAGTTGGGTGAAGACTCCCCCAGAACCGGACCAATACCACTGGCTAATGCCCATACCACGCTTGTCAGTCCCAAATACATGCCCCTGCGCCTTTGTTCTTGTCAGTGAGATCCGGAGCCGAGGATGTTTAATCCGTTGCCTACCTTATATCGAATAAATCTGTGATGCAGATATTAACGAGGATCACAACTCCTCCTGACCCGCTCCCTTGGATCGCCCGACCGCTGAGGAACATCGCTATCTTGGTGGACAGCGCACAAAGCAGGGAACCGATGAAAAAGACAGCTACCGCAGTGAGAAGCATCGCTTTTCGTCCCCAGATATCGCTGAGCTTTCCCCATACTGGACTTGACGTCGCATTTGCCAATAGATAGGCTGAACCGATCCATGTGTACCCTGATCCTGATTTGAAATCTGCGACGATGGTGGGAATAGCCGGACTTGTGATAGTCTTCACATCGACTCGTTAGCTTACTGCAAGGCTTCTTCCAGTACTTGGGCACACATACGAAGTCAAGCGCTGCAGTAAATAGGGACAGCTAGTGGGTAAGAGTTAGAGGGCAATTTTGAGTCTTATAGGGCCGCTGGTGCTTACAAAGAGGCAACTGATCACCACGACCATCCTCGCCCGGCTGCGTGTTACCGGCATCTCGGCTGGAAGACCGCTTTCACCATTTTCCGCCGTCGCCATTCTTGAATCTCTCAGTGTAGCCACTTTCTTAGCTGTAAAAGAGGACATTGAAAAGGGGTTGAAATTGAACAGAGAAAAGATGGATAGGGGAGGGCAGCCAACCCCAATCAATCTTACGGGACGGGGATAGGTAAACGGTTCTTGGATTACAGTACGCAAACCGATTACAGGGATTATGCTTATTTTGTATGACGACCCACAGAGTACATATCTATGGTACCCCACCCGCAAAGCTCGGGGGAGAGATACTACGCCCGCAATATTGTAAGTTATGTGTCTTTGCTAAGCATATACGATGGCCCCGGGGTTCTGCGGGAGTCGGAACAACTTAACTAGCAAGGCGTATTCGAATTTCAATCGGTAATATACGGACCTTCTTAGCCGAGCTTTCCGGTAGGTTACAATGTTTAGGTAGGGATGTAACCATGATAACAATCGCCAGAGGAAATGGTGATAACATCTTAGCAGGTAACTGATATCCATTACTAAGGGAAACTGGAGAAACTAGCTCTAAGGAGAAATCGGACTCGTATAAAAACCATCAGCGACATAGGTGCGGAGTATAGGTAGGGGAATCACCATATTCCAGCCACACGGCTCTTATCATGTTAGCTTCTCTCTCCTCCGCCTCGGAGCGTATCGCAGTTACACTTCATCGATGATCTGATAACACTGCGTGGGGGCGAAACTCTACAGCCAAACATTCTGGCTTGTACGAATGGCAACGCCGTAGACAACTATGACTACTTCACAGCCAAGAAATTAGACACCCTGATTAACAATGCGGCTTATGCGCTAAAACAACTTGGTCTATCTCTCTTGGTGAGAATTTTTCCTCTCGCCTATCCTTTCATGGATTCCTTGAGTGCTGATTGGAGAATTGTAGAAGGGAGATGAATCGGTCAGTGTTGCAGTGCTGGGGATTTCAAATCTGGAATATTTGATCAATATATGCGCGCTCAGACCCTATCCCACTCGCATGTCGCCACTAAAGTTGATACTAATTGGGATAGACTTGTGCACGGATACCTATCGATTACCTTGCAGACGCCATTGTTGAATTTTCATCTCTCGCCCAATCAAAAGACCCGAGAGACGATTCTCCTCTCTCACTGGTATATAATGTCGTCAACCCGACTGAGTTCCGCTGGACCCATGACATGCTCCCTGCAATAAAGGAGACTGGGATGAGCTCCACAACACTTCCACCGGCAGAGTGGGTAAAGCGATTAGAGCAGAGCAATCCTTATCCCACCCAAAATCCAGCCATCGAATTACTTTCGTTTTTCCAGTACCGCCATAGGGGTAACAGGGCACAGGATTCTCGAAAGCCTTCATTTGACACCACTGTAGCCCAAAGGGACAGTCCATCCTTGCGAAACATTCCCGATCTCGTTGGCAGTGAACTCATCAATAAGATCATCGCAGCATAGGAAAACAGAAGCTGAAAAGGCCAAATGCTCTTGACCTCGGGCTTGGTGACACCGGTCCTCGCACCAAATGGATAGTTTTTGCTTGGAGTCATGTGACCCAGTGTTTGTCCCGGTGTGATCCCAAGCGGTTCGCAGGGTTTGCATACCGCTTGGTGCCTCAGAGGCCCAAGCTGAGATGTACCCAGTGATCGGGCACTTCGAACTTTCAAGTCTGCATGTTGTAGTTTGCCTATTCTTCCATTATCTCCCTCTTACACACATTCTATCATGGCTTCTGCTCACGGTAATGCTGAAAATGGGAATGAGCTTGGTCAGAACTAATCATCAACAGAAGTACTCCAATACTGAACCATGAGGTAGTTGGGTTGTGGAACGATGGTGTCACGTGTAGGTATTCCGGACTATACTCTAGCCCCAGCCTCGCTCTAGTCTGTATTGAGTGTTAGTCTCTTCTTTAGAACCCCTTTGCTGTTAACAGCTCAACGGAAAGCTGAAATCCCCTACCTTCCACCATGTCGCGGAATACGAAGAGACCTTTTCCGGGCACACCTCAAATAATGAGCATAGATGACCATCGCGAGATTTTATTCCTCTCCAAAATGTGGCTATTATATAAACGCTCGGATGTGGTTATCGCTGATACGCCTGGACCCCCGGGCATCTATCCTACACGCAATACCTATTCCACACTTTAATGATTATGTAGGCACCACATTCTCACCGCCTCCACGTCGATGTTGTCGATAATCGGGTTGTTTCTTTCTTCCTTCTGCTACTATCCAAGGTGTGCATATATTCAATCATGAGTTCTGTCAGTGAAGCTAGTCCCGAAAATGAGACTGAGATCGACCAAGACCAGCCACTGGTTAAATCACTCCAAGACTTGACCATAATTGAGTCATGGAACGATGGAAAGCTGAAATCCACCACCTTCTACCACGTCACCGACGAGGAGGAGGTTTTTTTCGGCTACGCGTCAAAGAATAAGCGTGAAATGACCATCCCAGAATTCAACTTGTCTTTGAAACGTGTCCCGGATCAAGATATCTATCCAAAAATACCTGTCAACACTCACTTGACGCTTGCATCGGAAGTTCTGGACCCTTCTTTGGTTTATGTTAAGAGATCAGGCCTACAGTGGTACGACGATATGATCGGCACAAACCATCTTTCCAAGGCCGTCCTTGATGAGACACTCGTCATGGAGCAGATCTCACGAGCGCCTCACCCAAACATAATTCAATATTATGGTTGTCGTGTGAGACGTGGTTATATCACGTCGATTGTTCTCGAGCGGCTTGATCAAACTCTAAGCGCGTACGTTTCGACATCCGATTTTCAAAAGCTTGACAAAATCAAGTTCTTCGAGTATTTCAAGTCGGCGGTTGAACATCTGCACAGCTTGGGGCTAGCTCATAACGACATCAACCCAGATAACATTATGGTGAAGAATGGATCACCAGTGTTGATTGACTTTGATTCTTGTCAGCCCTTCGGGAAACGTTTACAGTCTTTGGGCACGGAGGGGTGGTACGAAAAGGTCTTTTATACTTCTGAGAAGGAACATGACATATATTCTCTTGGGAGATTAGAGGAGTGGCTTAGGACCGCGGGGTGATACTGGAACAATACACATATTCTATGTTTGGCAGTTGTATACTACTGTAGAAATAAAAAAGACATGCCTAAAGCCTTCACCGTCAATCAATTGGGTAGTAGCTCTTTAACAGCTTATAAAACCAAATCCCAAGGTCAAACGGGATGTTCAAAGCGGCTGCTAAAATAGATCAGCAGTGACAATCAAACCATCTGGTCACTTCCCGAGATAGACTAGCTGTGCTCGTCTTCTTCATCCGTACCTTTTCTCGGCTTTGATTTTTGAGTGTTTGTTCAATCTATGATCTGGTCTGCTGGCTGACCTGCTGGATAGTTGGTGGCTTAGGCCTGGATGGCGAGTTTGTTTTTCTGTCTGACTGTCTTATAGCTGTTGATGCCGCTGAATACACATTCCTTTAGCGAGCTAGCAATGTAAGCGATGACTGCAAAGAACGCAAACCCATCTTCCACAATATTCGTTGGCTTTTGATTCAGGTCCAGGAGCGTTTTTATGTCCTTTTGTACAAATGCAGCCTCTTCGACCATGTTTGTAATCTCCATTTTGATCTCAGAAGATGTGGCATAGCTAAATATTCAACGCATTCTGATCACATTCAACCCAGAGATCACCATTTGCATCCATCATCACACTGACTTGTAACTGCTCCCTCTCCTCACCTTTACCTACATAATAATGAAAGCAACCCGGCTCACCATCAACCCGTCTGAAGTACTGAAATTCCATCACAAGATCTGCATCGGCACCTCTTGCCAGTAATAGATCCCGTGTACGCACATCCGCACCCTCCTTGCCATACATGTATTTTGTGACCCACATCACTAGGGGTGTGGCCTGGTAGATATCCCGCATGTCCACGTTTGCACTAGCAACATCGATTAACATCTCTGCCGCCGCGACAGTACCGTCGACCACGGCATGGTGGAGCGGGGTGCGGCCCTCTTTGTCCTGCACGTTTGGGTCCGCCCTGCCTTCGTTGATGAGAAGTGCCATAACCATGATATTCCCATCCCGTGCCGCAAAATGAAGGGGAGCGTATCCGTCAGTTTCATCACCGCCTGGGAGACCAGTACTCTCCGTTCCAGCGTCGACCAGTCGTTTCTGGCCCGGTTCAACTTGCTTATTGGAGAGAAGTTCGAACAGAAGTGACAGGATTCTTGGTTGGTCTTCAATAACAAAAACATGTATAAGAGACTGGCCCTTTGTATTTCGTTCGCTGATATCTGCGCCTGCATGCAGAAGGACGCCCATCGTCACCATACGGCTAAAAGTCACAGATAACATCAACGGACTCTGTTTCTCGCTGTCGAGCATGTTCACGTCTGCCCCGGCTGTGACCAAGGTCTCTACGAGATCTGGATCATCGCGTAACATGATACAGAGATGCAAAGCTGGTGTGATGTGTGCTGTTGGAGATAAAGCTTCCCGTGGCGGTGTTCTGTTCGGTTCCGCACCGGCTTGGAGAAGCGTTTCGATCACCCCATTTCTTTCTTGAGTTGCCCCAAGAAGAACCGCGAATTCTAACGCGGATCGTCCCTCTGCATCCTCTGCATCTACGTCGGCAGTAAAGTCAAGTGCATCCATAAGTGCACCCAGATGTCCCTGCTTGACCGCATGATGAAGTCTCGGTGTTCCTTTTGGGAGGTTGTTGTCTCCGTTGTCAAATTCCGCCGTCCGCTTTCGAGACCCGGAAATGGTATTCACGCTCTCTGTGATAGTTTTGCCATTTTCAGTTCCAAGATGTTGACCTCTGACTGCCCTTGCTTGGAGACCTTCAAGAAGTAAAATCTGTTTTTCTTCCGGCTGTCCTCGGCGCCTTAGGTCTAGACGCCTGAAGGCGTCTGCAATAATCTCAATCTCATTGAGGTTAACGTCATATAGCGAGTTAAAGGTCATCAAGGCGGCGCCTTCACCGTCGGGTACAACGTCGACATGATCATCGGAGGGCACCGGCTTTGGCCACATTTCTAGTCTATTCTCTAGTTGGAGAGACTGAGCTGGTACTTCCATAGTCTGGAGAAGCCTAAGAAAGGCGTCCAAGTCTTCACTGCTGCTGCTACTCTTGTGGGCGTTGTTGACGAAACTTGAGAACCGTCGAGCTTCTTCAAATGTCTCGCCCCTCCCGCCTTGATCTAGGAGCATGTTGGCGATGTCCAGCAGCTTGCCTTGCCATCTTCTGACAACAGACTCGCTGGCTTCGACAATCCCGCTTGGGTTTCTGTTCGATCCAATAAAGTGAGCAAGCATGTCAAGAGGTGTGCCCGATATCAAACCAGCCCGTCCAGCCTCAACTTTGGCAGTGACATTGGGATCAAATTTCCTAGCAAGGAGCAACTGAACTATCTCCACATTGCCATGCCAGACAGCAGAATGAAGCAATGAGAACCCCTTGTATCGCTCTGTTCGTAGGCTCTCTGCAAATAAAGGCACATCTATCAGATATTCCATGATGTTGGCATCCATCAATTCATCTGCACGGCGAGACCGCTGGTGATTTAAAATCCAGACCCAGACCGGCATATCCCCAGGCCCACGTAAGTATACCGCTTCTCGCTCTTGAAGCCACTGAAAGCTCTCAACTAGTCTTGGTTGTCGATGATCACCTAGGGCACTGAGAATTGAGTCACCATCAAACTCGAACCTAATCAGAGCTGCAAATATCGAATCCCCAGTGGATGAATCGCGTCGCAACAAATGTTTGAGTTGATCCTGTGAGCAATGTGACGCTATCATATCAGCTGCGGGAATGTTCGCCTGTTGCAACGCCCAAAACACTGCCGTGTGACCGCGGCTGTCTGTCGCCATAACATCTGCCCCAGCCTTCAGCAGCAAGTCAACGAAATCCACACTGGAACCTCCTGAAAAGCTGGCCCGAGTAATTAGGGCCATGAGGAATGGGACATTTTCGTCGGAATAGTCCATGACATTGTGAACCTTTTTTTCAACGCCGGAGCAGGCCCTGTGCAGCAGAGTTCTTCCCAGAAGATCTACCTCTATGTTAACAAGACTGGGAACTTTATTGAGCAAGAACTCAAAGCATGCCAATGAGCCATGTCTTAGACACAAAGCTAGCGCAGTGTACATATACTCCCAGCGGTACCTATACGTCTCGTTGACCGAGGCTTTCTCAGCTTCTGCGCCTAGCGTCATGTATTGAAAGCTAATCAAATTGCATGGGTCATTCAAGGAAGCCAAAAGGGTGTCATTCACACTCTTGCGAGCCTCTTTGATGGCTGTGATCTCCATATACTCGATAAATCTTTTCAATGACATTATATCATCAGCGACGATGGAAAGGCCTAAAGATGTCTCGGTGGCCGCCCCCAATGTGGGATCAGCACCCTCATCTAATAAAAGATTTTGGGTCCTCATATAGGCATCCTCATGTTCGCCTCCATGTAACATCAATGAGACATATTTGTTTGGCGGAAGCATAGACGTGAACATGATATCCGAAAGTATGGCTGCCATAGATACCGAGTTCATCATACTCCGTGCAATTTTACTTGCCATAGAGCCCATGGTCACCTCTGGCAAAGTATTCGTGTGAATGTCATCCTCGAGGCACATAGCGGGATTATCTTGGAACAATCTCAGTAGGGCCTCTCCTACCGCTGGGAAATGATATACGAAACTCAAGAATAGCGCCAAGGCAAATTGCCTTATAGGCACATTGAACTCGACGTGGAGGCAAAAAATCTCCATCGCGAGGATCGGTTGTCCTCTTCCAAGGGCCACACACAGAGGGGTATTAGGCGTGGAATTATCCTCAAATACAGGTTTGTCACTCAGATCCATCTCAACAAGACAATCGAGACTCGCTCCTCGTTCGTAGGCAGTCCGACAAAGTGCGGCAGCTTGGACATCCGGGACCTTGCCAAGCTTATGGAATAAGTTATAGATAGTCTGCTCCTCATCTTTGATCAAAACATGATCGGGGGATTGAAGCATATCTCTGATCAATTCGGTAGCTCCGATCTCCAAAGCGTCGCCAAGATGGAGTGGTCTCAATCCAGTGAGACTGGGAGGCGCAGCTTGAGCGCAATAAGCCCTCACTAGCCGCTGACTGTCGAGTAGACCGGGGTGAATGGTCTTCACTTCGTTAAGACAACTTAGACCCCTTTCTCGGATCACTTTGCAAACAATCGCATAGAGATCCGGCCAGGTGGAGTGCAGGCGCCTGAATGCCAGAGACGAATGCGAGAGAGCGAGTAGAGTCAGGTTCAATCGTATCGGGACCTCCGATTCAAGATGAATGTCTCCGTTGGATAATGCAAAGGTTGCAGTCATGATACCAGTTTGATTCTGGTACAGCGCTGACATTCGAATGTACTCGAGCGCGCGCTTTTTGGAATCTGCTGTCTGGCGGGCATCTAGGGCAAACAAGCCGTGCATGCCTAACTTGGATAAGAAATACCCTTTCTTGATAATGTCTAGTACTCCAGGCCATATGTTTTCATTTGATTCAGTCTTTATTGCGTTGTAAAGGTTGGCCTGGTTGCTCTCAATCTTTGCCAGCAAGATACCCAGGAATTGATCCGTCGAGAGGTCTTCAGGAAGCTGAACTGGAATATCTTCTGGTTGAGGCCTATACTTTATTCTATTATTAATTTCGTCAAGGGCGCGCAGTGTATAACTGGTCATGATGTGCTGATGTTCGCTGAGCAAAAGCTGCGCCTCGGGATATCCATCGATGTTAGGGCTGCGTAGGACTTTCGACTCATAGGGCTGCTCATAAACATAAGTGTAAGACATGAGAACGGGACTTGATACTTGGTACCTTTGATTCCTCGACATCGGTGAGACTGTGGAATATTGTCAGCTTTCTTTTCCTGCGCGACTGATAATGCATTAGGAGAAATGCCACAGTTGGACCACTTACACCTCAATTGTGCGCCCTATTGCATTCGCAAAGTCGGATTCTATTACCATTAACTTATTCATATTTGGTCGCTTCCGCCAGTCGGTTTTCAGTGTTGGTGTAAGAATCTCAAATATCTCACTGGGGTTAATATCTGCTGGCAGCGATTTCGCCGTAATTCGCCCCCGCAGGAATGCCATGAGGCTATTTGGATGGTCCTCTGGTAACTTCTTGAGAGATCTCAGCCCCTCCTGATCCTCTTCAGGTGCCAATGATACACAACTGGCGAGACTTGAGAGTACACTAGAGCTTGATGACGTGTCACACCATTCATCATCCCTATTCCCTGCACTCTGGCCATATCCTCCACTGCCCTCCCTACCAGCCCATAAGTTGGCCACAACAAGGCCGTACGAGTACACATCTGCGAAACGCCAATCAACTTTTAGGTGCTTTCCGAGAACTTCTGGAGCAGACCAAAGAGGGGTGATATGTGTTGGTGTACCGGCATGTTCTCCATGCATTTGATTGCTCCCCCCAAAGTCGGTCAATTTTGCAACCAGCTGGCGTGTAGGATCCTCGCTACTGAATATGATGATGTTGTCGGGTTTGAGATCTCCATGAATGAAACCAGCCTCGTGGATGGCCTGGAGACCGAGCGCAATATCAATCGTGAGATGTCGCTTTTGTTGTGTGGTTGGGCCTGGTCCGGGGGCCCGAATAACGTAGTCTAGGGAGCCGTGATCCCCAAGTTCCATACCGAGGAGCGGGTACGTATGGTCTGCACTCCACCCGATGAACAATAGGTTCAGGATGTGCGGGTGGCCACGCAGGGAAGAATGGCAGAAAGCCATCATTTCCTTCAGTATCGAATGGTAAACCTTCTGCCGAGCTGCTTTGGCATGTGTTGGTGTTGGACTATCCATTTTCGTAGATCGGAATATTTTTAGTGCCGTTGTCGAACTCGGTAGAGGCCGTGGGTCGGAATCTTGGTCAACCATATGCTGTACGACTTCTGAAGTCAACCCACTTCCTATCGAGAAGACCTGTCGTTTCTCGTCCGGGCCTTCGAGCCCGACTTTGTCTATTGTCCTGTTGCGGATGTCATAATGGACTGAGGCCCAAAAAACGTCTATGAAATCGGGATCCGCCCGCGCTGCTTGCTGGAGTTTTAGTGCGACATCGTCACTTGCCAAGTTCAGCTCAACCTGCAATAAATCATCGGGTAGGGTAGTCGTAGCTGTATCTTGTGCGCTGGTACTAAACGAGCTGGTGCCGAATGAAATCAATCGGCCTGAGCGATCCATCTTCGACAGGATTATCAACTTAGACAGAAGATCAGGCGCGGAGTCCAATCAGTTGAACATGAATTATAGACAGGATTAGAATGAGAACAGGTAAGGATGCCAGGGCAAAATCCTAAGGGACTTTGATTCGTCTGTTGTCAGCTCCTGCCTGACTTGAGGCTGAAAGCGGGGAACGAGATTCACGATTAATCCCGAGTGCTCTTGTTTGTCCTCTCCTGCTATTTAACTGCTTCATGTGTTGCTTGCAAGACCTATTATTTCATTAATATGTCTGGCCTTGAGGTCCCCGGGCTAGTGCTAGGGGTTGTCGGTGTCGTGATCGCATTCAGGGGAGCTCTTGACACCGCACTACTTATTGAGTCTTTCTTTGACGACACTCGAATAGACTGTGGATATTTGGCTCTATGTTACCACGTTGAAAAGACTCGTTTACAACTTTGGGGGGAATTATGCAACGCTAATGATGAATCCCAACCGGACAAATGTACCCTTCGCGACCTTCCAGACTACCTGAAAACGCTGGTTGTTAGGATCCTCGGCGAGATCCAGAAGCTTAACGAAGAAGCTAATAGCCTCATTTTCAAGTACAACATCGAATTGGCGACTCTCCCAATGCTGGACCTAGATGATAACCTAGCCCCCGATCGGGCGTTGCCGATGGCCTTATCCAAGAAGATCATAAAACCCAAGTCCCGGTTCCGCTGGACAATCAAAGGGAGATCAGAGTTCGAAGAAGTTATTGCGAAGCTTGGGAAGCTCATTAGTGATCTCCACGGCCTTAATGTACATTCCGGGGGATCACAGCTCCCAGAAAAAGCGCTTCCGTCGCAAGTTCTCGCCAATGTCACGAACCCTAGCCTACTACGGATTCTAGCCGATTCCCAGAATCAAGTGAATCGTACTTTGGCTCTATCTGCCGAAGCTAAGAGTCTGCATTTGAAGCCTGACCGCGCATCTGAGAGATCAGCTACCGCACTCACTAGCCGGGAGTTGGTGTTCCGAGAAGGCTCATCGGTCACTGGTGTTGTCTTTCATCGAACAGGACAGGTACTACCTGTCTGGGTAGAATGGAATGACTTGAAGCCAGGACCTGGATCTGACAGATATATCGCGCGTATCAAGTCGTTAGGCTACGTCCTAGAACGAGTGGGCCAGCCGGAGCTTTGCCTGCCTCCTTGTTACGGGGTATATGATGACCTCAAATACGAGGCAGAGCATGGAGTTAAACGTCTAGGCTTTGTATTTGGTCTACCGCAGCCAGGCCACTCAAACCAATTACAGTATGAGGCCAACATTCAGCTCTACCCTCCACAAAGCCTAAAGGCCCTTATCAAAGAAGAAAAAAAGCGCTGCAATACCACATCTTGGAGATCGCTTTCGCTTGGCATATCGTCTGGCAAATGCCTTTAGCCTTTTCCACGCAGCCGGTTGGCTACATAAAGGCATGCATAGCGAGAATATCCTCTTCTTCCAACAGGCTAATGGCCTCGGTATCAGTATGCTCGAGCCGTTCATCACCGGGTTTCAGTATTCTCGACCGCAAGATGCAGTTTCCCTGTCCCGTGGACCTTTCGAAGACACCGCACTGAACCAGTACTACCACCCTGATGCCCACTTAGGATTTTCCAAATTGCGGGATATCTATAGCCTCGGTGTCATATTGTGTGAAATTGGACGGTGGGCTCTTGTAGCGGATACAGTGACGGAGCGGAGGAAGAAAAAACTGACGAGCCGCAAAGCATGGCAGGAGTATATGATTAACCACGTCGTGGAAGATTTAGGTTGGAGGATGGGCTACCTATACCAAAGTGCGGTGAGGACTCTTCTCGATTCCAGCCTCCCAGCCGATGATGCTGGAGATGCAGTCTTTGCCCAGCAATTCTTGGAGAGAGTAATCCAGCCGTTAAGTCTCTGCAATGCGTGAAAATGCATGAATTGAGATACGAGTACTTGGTCTAAATAGACGAAACATTGCACAAGTTATCGCATAAAGTCTTGACCCCAGATCCACCGGATCAGCCATCGCAATCATTGGCCAAGTCCCTCATTCAGGCAGAGGAACGCGTCGTAGATTCACATCTCAGAGATAGATTTGTCCTAAGACTTATATCCTCGTCTTTCCAGCCATTCTCGCCCATTCCAGCCCGGAGGTGGTTGCCTAGGGGTCCCATTTACCGGAGGCCGACCCCCCTCGAAGTAATCATCTCTCGCAAGGCCAACAGGATCTGGTCCATGTTCACGACCAATGCATCATCATCGTCCGCGGTGCTCAAGACCTTACGAAAAATGCCTATACTCAATGTATGAACATCGCGTGCGTTTCCCCAGCCTTTCAGCCGCGATAGAGCAGTGAAATTGCTCTCTAGTTCGTTGTGAGTTCCGTGTTCCGGGATCTCCAACATCGAAGTATCCAGCCCTTGCTTCTGCATCAGTTGCATCAGGAGCTGGGTGCATGCTGTGGCGTCGAGGCTCTGAAACGTTAGTGTGCGGGTGAATCGGCTTCGCAGGCCCGGATTGGAGTCCAGAAAATCGTCCATTTCCTCACTGTAACCGGCAAGGATAATGACCATTCTTTGTTGGAAATGGGGGCTTGTAAGGGCACCAACAATCTCTGCGATAGCATCTGATGAGTAGGATCCTTGTGAGTTTGAACCATCGCCGAGACGATATGCTTCATCAACCAGCAAGACCTTCCCCACCGCGCTCTTGAAAAGTCTTATAATTTTAGGGCCGGTCTGTCCGAGATATTCACCGATAATATCGCTCACTGAGCATTCAATCACTTCGGCGCTGGCGAGAAGACCCATGCGGTAAAAGATCTGTCCCATGTTTCGCGCCATTGTTGTCTTGCCGGTCCCTGAGTTCTCGTTTAGAATAGCCTGAATCAAATGGGAATGAGAAAGCATACCTGGAGCTCCTCGAAATATATAATTGAAAGGGACATAATCTCGGGGGTCGAGATTTCGCGCGACGGCCTTCCTTGCCACCCTGGTATTCTCAAGCAGATCAGAGATGACAGTATCATTGCCGACCACATCTTCAAAGAGCCTCTCACATTCCTCCTCGGCGTCAAAAACACGGTTCCAATCCTTTGAGAAATCCTCCGGCTTGAGAAGCATTGGGTCTGTTTGGGGATCATCCATACGGCGCTTATCAAGCGAAAAATATGCCTTGTGTAGAAGTGCATCCACGGCGCTAGCATTCCCAAATCTAGGTGAAAGCATACCATGCACTAGCACCCCCAATGCAGCGGATTTTGCCTTTGGCGACGCATTCATGGAAGCTGACTCCAATCCTTTGTCTAATATCAGCTCCAACTGAGATGTCGAAAAGGGTGGGAATCGGAAGGCAGAAGCCAGTGGAAACCTTGTTGAGAGGCCTGGATTGACATGTTGAAACATCTCCAGCATGTCGTCCTCGTTACCCACAAGCAATACAATCCTGCTGGGTGTCTCTCCAGGCGTAACTAGGGCGATCAACGCATCGATGGCATTCTTATAGTCAGAGTCGCTGTGCGATGTGGGTCCACCCCACAGTGCATGTGCGTCGTCAATGATCAACACCTTCCCTTTTGAACCTTTCAAGTCATCGTGCGGATTCCAGGAAGTCACCAGACTCGAGGCGTTTACTTCAAGTACTGCGCGGACACAAGATTTAAGCCACCGTCCACCATCGTGTATACACAATTAGTCAGGTGGGTGCTTACCAGAACGCTTCTTGACAAACCCTATCCGATGCAAGATTCTAGCGTAGAGCTTTGCAACTGTTGTCTTTCCGGTACCTGGAGAGCCGATGAAAAGACCTGTATGGGGGATAGGGCGCAAAGGCAATCCTTTCTCTTTCCGCACGCAATTATCAACTGCTCGGTGATGTAACAGGCGCACTTGCTCCTTGATGCTTTCAAGGCCTACCATTTGTTCCAAGCTCCGCCATGCTTTGATGTCCTCAAGGTTGACAACTTTCTGGGAATCTTCATTTTTATGATGTGTGTGGTCACCTCTGTCATCCTCGCTGTCATTGTCGCTGTCATTGTCTCGGTCGCCGTCTCTGTCACTTTCCCAGTCAGTCTCCCAGGCTTCATCTTCCTTGTCACTTTCTCTGTCACTTTCTCTGTCACTTTCTCTGTCACTTTCTCTGTCACTTTCTCTGTCACTTTCTCTGTCACTTTCTCTGTCACTTTCTCTGTCTCCATCCCAGTGCTCGCTACTCAAAGATCGACGGTTTGAATGATAATATGCCAGCTTAGCTGATGGGACCTCGACAAGGGGCAGACCTCCCTCTGCCAGCCTCTGCCACATACTATTATCTCGCGCATTTGGAATAGCGCCGCTCATCTCCTGTATTTTATCCTTCTCATTTGTAGGGAGTTCCTCCCCAAACAGGATGAGTCTCGTTGTTGTGCTGGGCAGCGTGGCGAGAAGAAGCGCTTCATCAATCTGATCTGCTGCATCAACAATGACAGTTTCTGCCTGTATACAGCATATTTCAGGCATAGATGCTGCTAGATCTTCGGCAGCACAAACGTATATGCTTCGATCCAATTTATTAAATGCGTGAAGTCTCGTTTCGGTACGGAGGTGTACCTCCTTCTGAAAGGAGGCCTCATATTTCCTTACTTCAGACTCGATTAGTTCCTTGTGCCGCTTTTGAGAGGCATCTGTCATGCTGGCAAAGGCTTTCTTATCCATTCTCAGATGTTCTGGCCAAATTCTCATGTCCCCAGGGCTGCTTCTGGATTGATTTTCGTCAGGCATATTTGGTGAATTTCCATCAGTCGGGCAACTTGTGGATTCAATCGAGGGCTCTGTCTGGCCAAGAGCTATGTCAGATGGCTCCATACAGGTGGACAGGCTGTCTGATTCTGATGATTGCTCGTCGCGTTCAGCTAACATGGAGTCAGGACTGCGATGACCGTCCAGAAGCGACGGGTCGTTCAAATTGGGCTCTTTAGGGTTAGGTATGTGGTTCGGTGGGAATGAAAACATATAGTCTATAGGCACATCCAATTCCCGAAGACTCGAGCTCATGTCTTCCAACTTATCTCTCGATGAAAAAACCATAAGAATCTTCTGACCCGAAAGCCTATACAAAGACTCGACAATTATCTCGCATAGCGGAAATGAATAAATTTCTAGTCATGGAAGGTTAGCTGAGTAGTAAATCAAACTCGTTATAGCCATACCAGGCGCTCTTTTGTAGAGTGTAACACGCTGAGTAAATGCCGGTATACACGCTGTAATTCCAACTTCCAGTCCTATCCTCATGCGCATGAAGTGTTGAGGCAACTTCAGTATACGGTACACTGACCGGAGGCTGTTTTGTTTCAGTGCCTCAAGGAGCCGTTCCAGCCCTGGCAGTGGTGCTGGAGCAGGGGGGTTCCGGCTGCACATGAGTAATTCTTCGCTTAGAGGCAAATCATCCCTCTTCTGTAACGACTCTAGAATGGGCACCAACTTCCACGCCGATGTTTCTGAACCGTGATACTTTATTGTCTGCTGTGGAATCTGTCCAATCATCTGTTGCACCTCAAACTTCATGTTCGAGGGGGTATCTGACGGAATATGAAGCTCGTAAGTGGGCGGTCCTTGTGTGCTTTCAGACATCTTGTATGTCTTTCCTATAGCTAGAAGGTTGTTTTTTGATACCAAAAAGCAAAGCTTGCCGCTCATGTCGCTTGCATCATAACTTGAAGCCGGCTCGCCCTTTGACGATTGCTTACCATCATCGAATTTTTCAGCCTTCTTGTTCGGCCTAAGAATGATTTTGACTCGATATTTCCTGTCATTTTCGGGTGTAGTGTTCTCTTCATCTGAACTGTCATCAAGCAGAAGAGAAGTAAAACCGAGCTCTTCAAACGCTACTCATTTGTAAGCGCAAAACACTAGGTAGATCTTAGGATTTGCATATCTTCACCTTCAGAGCGAAGAGCAAGAATCAAAGTATTCCGTAAGCGAAAGAAATGGCGTTCTAGTAACCTCGATGAGAGAGTTTGCGAAGGTGTACTCGACGGCTGCATGCTGACGCTGAATGCCTTTATTTCGGCAACATCTGGTACGGCAGAAATGGTGCGAAAGTCTACCTGCTCCGTTTTATCCTCTAAAGAGTCTGGCTCTGAAGACATCTCTAGTGGCGCTGAGGCCTGCCTCGCAGCATTTGATGCAAATGCTTGATCTTCCAGTGCCATTGTTATTGTATTGTTGATACTCCTACAGGGCATATAGACCATGGGAGAGGCTGATAGTACTAGAGCGAGATCTTGAGTCGAAAGGGTCTCAGCCTAAGCTAAGGGTGGGAACCTAATAATAGTACCGAATGGGTTAGGCCAAAAGAACGCCTCTCTTGGCATGACACAGCCACCAAAACGAGAATCACGATCTTCCCTCTTAGTTTAACATGGGCCCTTGCTAAATCCTGAATATGCGACATATACGTTGCACTGCCTCATCTAGTCAGACATAGAATGACAAATATTCTGAGCGTAAGAGGGCTCCTGGGCATCGAATGGTCGAACGACCGCCAGATATGTTAACTGCCCTTGCCCATTTGGCAGGTGAAAATGGCGGAAGAGGAGGCTCCCCTTGTAAGTACCGAAGAGGCTTAACGCAGACCCAACTAATTTCCTGTCAAATGTGGCAACATTGGCGATCTCTTTCGTGTCGGTGTTTTCTCAGTAGCCCGACGGATGTACGGGCCCAGGCGACTAAGTGGGCCACCGATATGTACATAAAACTCTCATTGATACTGCCAGGCTGCCTATTTCATGACTCCCTTGTTGCAGCCGATACACTAATTCCGATTTCTATGCTATTTCCAACATATCTTTTATTTTTCTAAGAGGAGAGGACTCCTATACGGCCTTATGTAGGGAGTTTAAGTACTGTTTCCAGCGGTCTTTCCAGCGGTCTGTGTAGTGGGCTTATTACATATTCTTCCTGGATGTCTTTACGATGATTTTCCACCTTTCTATATGTCTAGCGGAAAAGACCAAAGGAGCATACTTTAATAACTTTATACAAGAGACTTGACGTTTCTATGTATAGCCTTCAATACAAACTTTATAATCGTTTGACCAGCCATCGATCCTCGGCAAACGCTAAAAAGAAACAAAAAAGCTTCCTTTTTTTTAACCTGGTATATCTACAACCACTCTTGAGACCGAAGGCTTTTTAGTTTTCGTAAAGTCAAGGTGAAGCCTTAGTGATAGCTGAGAGGACCCGTTTGACATTATGATGATGCGCCACCGAGCTGCGACGAGATTGAATAGAAAGGCGTGAAGGGACTGCTTGACTGGGTCCAACCGAAATTTTGAGGTTGAAAAATCGAAGGGCTATTACTATTACAGCTATTTTAGTTATTGTATTTATCTTTATTACGCTTGGGACTTGGTCAGGTCTTGTATCAAAATGCTTTGAGTCTTTTCCTCTTCCAATGATGCTACTTCCACTGAAAGCTCTAAACAACGCTATTGTGGGATTGATAGGAGCGGAAATTCTATTCGCGCATAATACGATGTCAGAACAATTTTTTTTTCAAGATCTTGGGAGTCAAAAAGAAAAGAAAAGTCCCATATTAATGGAAGTGTATAGATCGTGCAAACAAAGCAAACACAGCTATATTCTACTTCTCCACTCTTAAGTTTGAAGGACACGAAGTCCTTAAAGATAATTGCCACCTGTTGACTCACAGCATTGGAGCCTAATTAACTGAAGTGCCAGTCACCTTTTGCTTCTCACTAATAACAACCTCAGATCAATCCGAATCAATTATTCGTTCAGACACCATAGACCATACATAGACCGCAAGCGAGAGAGCTGTCAGCTCTCAACCAACCATTATGCACGGTCTCGCCAAACTGGCACTCACAGGCCTTCTACTCATATCACCAGCGACATGCTTCTCAAACTCCAAACCACCCGGCAAAGACGCTATCTTACTATCAAACGTCCAAACTTTAACATTACGCGCGCATCGCATGACAAGCTCACGTCGCGTCTCACCAATCCCCCAACTCAGCTGCGCAGGCCCATCAAAACAAATATGCAACCTCTATCAACCAGAAATAATGCGTTGCACAAACCAAGGATATGATTACGACGCTGAAGACGTGCAGTGGACCTGCACCGCAGACATGCCGGCAGAGTTCAAGCTCGGCGCAACAGATGTTATCTGCGAGGGGTACCGAAATGCCGATGATAAGTGGGTGCTGAAAGGGAGTTGTGGGGTTGAGTACCGGCTGCTCTTGACCGAGGCTGGAGAGAAGAGGTTTGGCAAGAAAGCCGCGGAGTGGGACTGGGAAGGGAAGGGCCAGTCCAAGACTGGGTTTCAAAAGCTGATGACGGCGCTTGGGGATTTGATTTTCTTTTGGTTCATCGCTGCTGTTCTCATTCTGATACTGGCGCAATGCTTCGGGTTGGGGAATCGGCGAGCCAGGGGTCCGGGTCCGGCCCGGGGGTGGGGCGGATTCTGGGGTGGAGGTGGTGGAGGTGGTGGTGGTGGAAATGATCCTCCGCCCCCTTACAGCAGTTTCGATCCTTATAAATCTGCTGGTAGGCAGCAGGGCTGGACACCAGGTTTTTGGACTGGTGCGCTAGGCGGTGCTGCCGCTGGTTACCAGATGGGGAGACGTTCTGATAATGGATCACGCGACAGAATGTCAATGGGCAGGTCTGGCGGATATGACTCCGGTGAAGGCAGCTCGCGTTCGCCGCCGCAGTTTTCGTCTACGACTGCTAGTACTGGATTCGGGTCAACCAGGCGTAGGTGATGTCATGGACATATCATTTACGCTTGTCGCCATTTGCTACCGACTTGCGGAAAAGAAGACATCGAGAGAAAGCCAAAAAGGCCTCTCAATGTCTTTGGGAAGTAAATCACCCACAAATCTTCAATTGACGGCCATAACGTCTTGTTGCCATCATGAAACTGGTTGAGATACAATGGGGGAACGTACTTCAAGTAACAAATCAATTAGCAAATAAAAGGCCTAGAACTCCTGGCTTGATATCCTGTAATCCTACACTCAGAACGCCGTAACCTTTAGTCTTTCACTTCATAAGGTGTCCATTAAGATCCCCGACTTAAGCCGTGGGAAAGTCATCGATCGATCCCAGAACCTCCTCTGTTCCGCCTCCCTGGTTCTTCAGTCCCACCTTTTTGCGAGACTTCTTCACCACTGTCTTGGCATCCTTGTCGTCCTTGGAATCCCCAGTTGGGTTGCGCAGCATGTCCTCTTGCATTTCCTTCTCCTTCGCATGCTGGTCCTCGATCCGCTTCTTTTCTTCATCCAGTTCTTGCTGGACAATCTTGGGATCATCGTAGACGGTGTTCGTCATCTCTGAGTAAGTTGCAATGTCGATGGTCTCAGATGGGCCCATCAATGTGTCCTTGATTCGTTGCGGATCTCGGCGTTCTTCATTGTTGAACTTCAACTTGATCTGACGACGAGATCGGCCCGGAAACATTTTGCTGATAACCATGAAATCAGTACCGAACATGCGGAGCCCGCGATAAAACAGATCTGTCATCTCTTCATCCCATGTTTCAGTCTTGGTCCGCTTGCCGTACGACGCCTGGTTGATCTTCCGGGTGAATGAGCTTTCCACCACATCTTCGAGATCGCCGGCGGCTCGGGCGGCATCCGCGTGACGATCGACCTGCAACGATGTATTATCCAGCACGATCTCACCATTAACGATTCGCATAAGGGGCCCGCTTTGGGGTTTCCAATCGACTGGTTGTTCGGCTTTCTCCTGTTCGGCTTCAATTTGCTTGACGGGTGTCCCTGGCCTAGGGGTTCCGCCCTGCTTCTTCCGTTCTTCTTCAGCCTTATCAATCTTGCGTAGCTCTGTCTCACGCTTGGATTTCTTTCCAGTTCTGAGGTCTTTGCAAAGTTCTGACATTTTTACAACATTTGGCAAGATCTCCACAGTCTCTGCGCCTTCAGGGGTGGGTTCGCGCTTCTTGCGGGTGCGCTTTGGTTTCTCGCTACCCTCAGGATCCGACGTACCGGCCTTTGAGTACTTTCGTTTTTTTGGTTTTGTTGGATCTGGGGTGGAAATATTGGATTCACTGGTCGTTGCGCTTGCATCTTCAATTGTAGGCACGATTGACTGGGAGCCTCGACGGCTTACCGCCGCAGATATAGACTTCTTGCGAGCTGGGGCCGCAACCGATGCAGTCGATGTAGTTCGAGCGCGTTTTGCTGGTCGAACCTCTTTTGGGGCGATTTGATCGGTTTCGGGTTGAGATTGAGGTAGAGCTTCGGTTGAATCGACGAGGTTTTCTGCGGCCCGCGCTGTTTCGATCCTGGCGTATTCTAGAAGAGCCTTCTCTGGTCCATGCTCCTCGGAAGATGTAGTCTGAGACTCTCTGGTCGGTGCATTGGCGGGAGACGGCGTGGGTTGAGTGGAAGGAGGGGTAGGCGGGGCGGTCAAAACAGTTGTGGGTTGTGAAATAGAGGTAGAGACATCACGTTGCTGTGGATGAGGAATCGCACCCGACTGTGGGATAGACGTTGGCTTTGCGATGGCAATCGGCTTGCGGATCGGGGCTGGCTTTGAAATTGCAGTCGGCTTGGGGATCGGAGTGGGCTTTGAGATTGCAGTTGGCTTAGGGATTGGAGTCGGCTTGGTGATAGGTGTAGCGGTAGGTGTGACGATCTGTGGAGCGGTGGCAGTGGTGACAGAATTGACATCTGTAGGAGTCGGGGAAGCAACTGCAGTATCCAAAGCAGTGGGTGTTTGTTCCGTGGTAATCGCAGCAACTGACGCAGGTGAGGCCTCTGTGACTGCCTCTGGCGCCGGCTCTACAGTAACATGAGAGGCCAGATTAGAGTCAGTTACATCTTTAGCTTTGTCGTCCTGAACCGGCTCGACTGGCAACTGCTGAACAGCACTGGGTCGTCTTGCTGGTGCGGCGGCAGGCGCACGGCGGATAGGCGCCTTCGGGGCGAATTTCTTGCCAGTTTTATCTGTCAAACAGACAGTTAGAGGTTGTACAGGCAGGCGCAGCTCAGATAGAACTCACTGATTGCAGAGCTGGAGAAGGACTTCATGGCTGCCCATTGCTCTAGGGTGTGGATTGATGAAGATCATAAAAAAGTTCCAGGCCGGGGAAGTGGACGATAGTCACGTGATGACACTAGGCGGACGCTAAACCTCGTTGAAAATCCTCCTGTCTTCAACTCCTCGATCTCTGCCATCCCACCCCTTCTATTGTCTGCTCGCCCACCCTTTCTTTACTTCCGCTTCTTTTGCTTTATTTTACTGGCTATTCTCCTTCTACCGGACTCTCCCTCGACAGGATTGGACACAGTCGCGAGATCTGCGTCTGGCTGACTGACGGACGGTCCGGTGGCCATAATAGCCTTCCCATTTCGAGTGTAGCCACTGATGCCGGCCATCGAGCCCCCCGTCCCGTCTACAGAGCCCGGTCTTGTCAAGATGGAAGACCGAAAGAGGCCCGCTGCGGACAGCAATGACTCGGCTCCGCCGTTGAAGAAACAGGCCACTAGTGTTAACGGTGGCAGCAAGCCTCATCCTGATGCTGATATGCCATGGAAAGATGATTTGGAGGTGAGTTCGTCTTTTTCTTATTCCGCGATCTGGATATCCTGTTTTGGTCTCCTGTTGGATATATGCTAACATGGCCTTTTGCGATAGCGATTCCAAAAAGAAGCGATTCTGCGCCAGATGCAAGAGTATAAACGGGAGAAATCATCACTGGAATCGCGTTTGAGCCAGATGTCAAAGGCTGCCACGTTTCACAATGACCACCTTCGTGTCATCGATTTGTGGTTCAAACAGGTAAAATTCCATTTCTTTGTCTCGGCCGACTTGAGATAAATATGGGAACATGATCTAATCTCGCAGCAGTTAATTGATGAAGTGAAATTGCTACTTGGATCATCGCAAGCAGAAGACCAAGGTCAGTACTTTTATTTTAGCCCCGCATCACCCCCATTATTGCCAATATTGACTATAATCGAAGAAACTTCCTTCAAAAGCTCATTACAGTTCGAAGATGTTGAAGAGTTTGAAACACATCTGAAATCGAGGTCGGAGGATATTCGCGCAATAATTTCTCAAGTTCAGTCTAAGTCTCAAGATGCGCCTGCCGACCTTTCAGAGGTACAAACCCGCCTTGCAAAGAAATTGGCCGAGGAAAAAGTAACGATTGCGGAACTCGAAAAAACCCTAGCCGAAAAACAACAGTTAGAGGAAAGCCTCGAGGAAGCCTCGTTGCGGTATCTGGTAGCCGAGAAGAAACTTGATCGTGCGAAGAGTTTGACTGTCGCAAAATTAGAAAAGCAGCAGTCTATGGGTATCCAACGACCAGGGGAAACGGCACAATCCAAGCGCGAAGAATCGTCCCCCGCCAACGGAGGAACCCCTGCTGGAGACCGCAACCCCGAGTTGGAAGAAGCCAATAACAAGCTCACTGCAATTTCGGAGAAACAAAAGGAGCAAGTCCAGAAATTAGAAGCCGAAAATGCCAGCCTACTAGGCCAGATCACCGAAATCAAAGTCAAGGTTGGATCCACTCCGTCGTTACATTGTCGTTTTGTCGCTCACATCGGGTTCCCAGTCTTCAAACTTCACGGATGACGATTACGCCCATACGCATTTGTTCAAACACCTTCGGTCACAATACGACGATGTAGTCAAGCGAATCAACCATCTGGAAGCAACGAACGTCCAACTTCGTGAGGAAGCAGAGAAATACCGCTCAGAAAGAACCGCATACAAGATGCAGGTGGAGGATGAAACTCAAAGTACAATCGCCGAGAAAGAAGCTCAGTTGATGAGGGCTGAAACGGACCTTGCTCGGATACGGAATGCCCGCGACGAACTTCTGGCCGACCAGCAGATGCGGAAGGCCGCGCAAGATCAAAAGAAGACTTCCAGTCTGAAACTACAAGAACTAGCAGACGCTAGAGAAGCCCGAATCACAGCTTTGGAGTCAGAAAGTCAAAGATTGCGCCTGCAGATTGAGGGGTCCAAGTGTGACGACAATATTAACGATATGCCACTGGAGGAGCTTCGCGCCAAGTACACCAGTCTGGAACGCCAGTACTCCATGCTCAACACCGAGTTAACATCCATGCAGACGGCCTATACGAAGTTCGCTACTCTCGCATCGCAGAAAGTCACAGACTTTGGGGCTATGGAAGAAAAGGTCGCACGGCTAACCGCGGAGAAGTCTAAGGCAGATCAAAAGTTCTTTGCTGCAATGAAGAGCAAAGAGGCACGGGATGTCGAAGTCAGAACACTCAGAATGCAAAGCTCCAAGACGTCAGACATTGTGTCGCAGCTGAAGGAGTCTGAAGCAGCCACCCGGTCGTTGGTGTCCAATATGGATAAACAAGCCAGTGAGACCAAGGAGGCACTAAATACAGCCCTCAGCAAGTACCGGGTCACCCAGCAGCAGTTGACCGAGAGCAACATCCTCACAGAAGGCTTAAAACAACAAGTTGCTGAACTGAAGGGGATTTCGATATCCAAGGACTCAACATTGAGCAGCACCACCTCTGCTTTGCGGCAAGCCGAGACAGAGGTCGCCGGCTTGAAACAGTCGCTTTCGGATACCAAGAAGAGTCTGGACAATTGGAAGAACAAGAGTCTAGGCAATTCGTCCTCGGAATATGAAATGCTGCGGGTATGTTAAATTCTCACATTCGTTAATGAACCAAATCTAACCTCTCTTAGACACTTGCACTGTGCACCGTGTGCCGTCGCAACTTCAAAAACACGGCGATCAAAACATGTGGCCATGTATTCTGCAGAGATTGCGTCGAAGAGCGTCTCACCTCTCGCTCTCGCAAATGCCCCAATTGCGGCAAATCTTTTGGAAGCAACGACCACATGCATATCACCCTCTGATCGATCTACCAATCTCTGTATTATATCTTCCTTTCGATGCTTTCCTATTTACGCCTATCGTTTTTTAGTGTGTCCAATCTGGACAGGGTCATGGTGTGGTGTTTTTATGTGTGATTTAGCAGGTGCAGGTCTGGTTTGGGCCGGCGTTTGACGAGTTATGCACGGTCAGCCCTAACTCGAGGCATTTTTTTATCTTTTTCTTCTTTTTCTCTTCTCCTCTTTTTCCCCATTATGAAAAAAATTAATGGTGGGTTTATCAAGGCGCAGGGGCGTCATTCGTCATTGTCTCTGGATGAAAAGCCGGCGCACACTGATTTTTCTCAAGAGGCTGAGCTATTCTAGATTTCTGTGTCATGTAGGACTACCGTGTACGGAGCAAAAGAAGTACGAAAGAACATGACGAATGCAATGTGAGGATTTTCTACGCCCCTATGTCTTGAATGTCTTCACTATAAAAAAAAGACCTTGGTTCTCGATCCTTGATATGGTCATATTCTCATGAGTTGAAGATTCGACTATACAACAATTCATGTCTGCCAACCCAAAGATCCAGCGCAGGGACAACCTGTCCAGCCTCCTCAACAAGGGTATTCCACTCGCGCCCAATGCGCCTCATCATCGTATCCTGCAGCTCCTGACTAGCCAACACATTCTGCGCCTGGTAAGGGCCCATGACACCCGCCCTAACAGCCGCGCTAAGCACAGCCTTAGCATGATTCATCACAAAGACATACGCCGTCTGTTGCAAGTCCAGACCCATAGCCCGGCAAACCACACCCCACAGCGGGGCAAAGTGGCCCTTGGGACCAAGGTCTTCGTCCTCCTCGAGACAAGACTTCAACGCGTCAGACAATTCGTCAATAGCAGTGGCAGCGGTCTCAGCGTCTTCCGATACCGGGTTCCCTGCGAAACTAGCTCTAAACGCGCGCTCCCAGACACCGATGAGGGCGCGCCCTTGGGCAATGCTTGCGCGTTGTGCGACAATGCACGGCGTTGATGCGTCCAGGTCGTTGTCTAGTGTGTCCAGGGTTGAGGGGTGTCGATATCCTGCTAGCACGTAGGGGAGTGATGTGCTTGAGATTGAGGCGATAGAGAGTTTGAGGAAGCGGTGGAAGGAGCTTATTGGGGATGTGCGAGAGGGCTTATTGTGAGCTAGGTATGATTCTAGTCCGCTCGAGTAGGCGAAGGAGCCTAGTGGGAGGGCGGAGTCTGAGAGGAGAAGGAGGGCGTGGAGCGATGTGCGGGTTGTGGAGGTAAGTTTGGAATTATTGGTATTATTATATGGTTCTATACCGGATTAGTTGGAGATATATTATACGGCATTGGAGGTACATATTTACCTACCTTTAACGGCCCATGAGGAGGGTGGGCTTGGGTATTCGGAGGCTGCTAGTTGAGCGCGGGCATCTTGGAGGCGCGACTCGAGAAGGGTGACCTCGGCTTCGAGGTCTTGAGTATCTTTGATGAGCATATTGTAGTTAACAAATATGTAATAAAGGTATGAATTTATGTAATTTGTATAGAGTACAGATTTAATAGGTGAAAATTGAAGTATCTGAACTAGAGGGAGCGAAACTGGTGTTTTATAGAAAGAAGCTCGCCGATCGGCAAAAAAAAGCGGGCAGGTCGGAGGCCGCCGCACACGTCCGAGAGCTCCCTATCAGCTTGACTGTTTCATATTATTAACTGGTTTTGGGGGTGTTGAACACTTCCTATCTTGCTGATCTTTTCTCCTGTTTTCCCCGCGTCATGAACTAAGGTCTTCTCCACAACCATGTCAGGCAAGCGTCTGCTCGACGTCCTCCAATTCCTCAATGTGTCCAAAACGGTCGCAGCCAAACACCTGGCCATCCGGCAACATCAACTAGATGTCTACACACGCACGTCCTCTTTGACAAAGGGCATCAAGGCCCAAACAGAGGGCCTGATCCTGACCGCTCAAGCCGCCGCCGCATTGGCACGCCGATTTGACGAACCCTCGAAACCACCTTCGCCGAGCCCGGCAGACTTCCCCGAGTCGACGGCCGATAAGCCGCCCGCCAGCACTGCAACATCGCCACCTCCCGACGTCGCCCGCAAATTACAACGTCAGGCCGAATCGCAGATCCCGGCTTCCGCGGCAACATACAGTGGCAACGAGAAACCGAGCGTTTTGGATGTGAGCAAGCAACAGGATGTCTTCTATGAGCCATCGACGCGGTCGGAGCTGAATCTCTCGGGACTGCCGAGGGTGAAGGTACCGAAGGTCGCAGGCGATGCTCAAGTTGGTAGTGACGGGTTGAATGCGGATGTTTTCCACTCGTCCGTTGAACCGAATAAGCCTGCTCCGGTCGAGCAAGAGATGTCGGATGAGATGATCCAAGGTCTTTTCCACAGCCCAAGAGTGTCGCGCATGATATCCGGAAAACCGCCGCCAAAGAGAGATTGGAAGCTGGCCACAAAGCCTCAGCAACCGAGCGCGAATGTTGCTGAGCCAATCTCCCCAGTGACTCCAAAATCCGAGGCCCAGGAGATGGAGGAGCTTGCGGCCAGTGTTGCCGAAGACGTCGTGCCCAGTGCGGCCACCGTCAGCGAGCCCGAGAAACAACAAGCGTACCAGATGCTGGAGTCGCGTGTGCCGTCCTCTCGACTGGGTAGACTATGGCAGTACGGTGGTCTAGCGACCTCGATGGCATTTGGCGCTGTCGGGGAAGGTTTACGCCGAGCCACTGGCAGCCAAGACAATGGGTCGATTATGTTCAGTGCTGGTAACATGGAACGAATGGTAGCCAAGCTGTCAAAAATGCGTGGGGCCGCTCTCAAGCTGGGACAGATGCTGAGTATCCAAGGTACGTTGCACCCTCTGGCTCACTGGTGACTCTAATACCCATGCTAATTATTTTAGACTCCAACATGCTCCCCGAACCAATCCAGCAAGTTCTCCAACGCGTGCAAGATCGCGCAGACTACATGCCTGCCTGGCAGCGCGACAAAGTCCTCACAGACAACCTCGGGCCCGACTGGCGCGACCTCTTCACCACCTTTAACGAGGTACCTATGGCAGCAGCCTCAATCGGACAAGTTCATTCAGCTGTCCTCAAAAGCACCGGCCAACCTGTCGCCGTGAAAGTTCAATACCCAGGCGTCGCCGACTCAATCGATAGCGACCTGAATAATCTTTCAATTCTTCTAACAGCCTCCCGCCTCCTCCCCAAGGGCCTGTTCCTCGACAAAACAATCGCGAACGCCCGCACTGAGCTAGCATGGGAGTGCGACTATATCCGTGAAGCCGAAGGCGCCAACCGCTTCCGTGAGCTCCTAGCCGACGATCCGGTCTTCGTCGTCCCCGAAATAATTGCCCACGCCTCAGGCAAGCAAGTCCTCACAATGGAAATGTTAGACGGCGTAGCCGTTACCAAAGTAACAGACTTTACCCAAAAACAACGTGACTGGATCGGCACACAAATAATGCGCCTGTGTCTCCGTGAGATCGCCGAATTCCACTACATGCAAACCGACCCGAACTGGACAAACTTCTTGTACAACGCGTCCACCAACAAACTTGAACTTTTGGACTTCGGCGCCTCCCGCGCCTATCCGGAAGAATTTATAACGTCCTACGTGCGCACGCTAGTCGCCGCATCACGCAACGACCGCCAAGCCTGCCACGACCTCTCCATCAAGCTGGGATATCTGACAGGAATGGAATCGCAAGCAATGGTCGACGCACACGTGAGCTCGATCATTACTATCGCGGAGCCGTTCATGCTTTCCTCGCCTGATTTGTACGACTTCCGTAACCAGACGATCACGGACCGCGTGCGCGAGTTTATTCCAGTTATGATTCGGGAACGGTTGGCGCCGCCGCCTGAGGAGACGTACTCACTGCATCGCAAGTTGAGTGGGGCGTTCTTGCTTTGTGCTAGACTTGGTAGCTCGGTGCCTTGTAAGGCTTTGTTCGTTGAGGCTGTTGAGGCGGCGCGGCGAAATGGGTTGAAGGTGTAGAGAGAAGATGTGGCTATGTACTATAGGACTCTGTAGACTACTGTATACTATATATTAAAGAACCAAATTTTGGAATTTTGGATAGTATGAGGCTCCTACCTATGCGTATCTAGGTCTGTACTTAGTACTCCGTACATATGTACATACTAGTCCTTTAATTTACAGGGGCTTTTGATAGTGGAGCATATGGATTCCTGCAAGCCATGAGCCCCCACACCAGTGGAGTTGAGCCCCAACACCTCCCTTGGCTCAGGAGAACCTCTTGATATCCTCGATATCCAATTTTACTTTCACTTCGTGGGTTATCACGAACCAGGTGATCACAATTCTCCATCATGTCTTCGGACCTCGCAGAAGACGACTATCTCAGTGACTATTCACATGTGAGGAAAGATGCGATAGGTGTGCCACTTTTTCGGCTAGCCTTGGCCACGGCAGTAGTTGGATTTGCCCTGGTGAGGTTCCATTCTTTTGACGGAGATAGGATAACACACTGACTATCTGAAGGCTGCCTACGTAGATAGGAATGTAACTGCAACATTCATCGCATCCTCAATACCAAGAGAAGAACGGTGGAGATTCTCCAGACAAAACTTCCGAGGTTTGCCAATCATCTTGTTTCATCGATTATTGAAGTGTTTCCTCCTTTCCTTATTCCCTGCATCTGGCTCTAGCCTCATGAAATGCTTTCTCCTGAGTGTGATCTCAGACTTGGTACTTTCAACTCTCAAGGTATCCAACGTGCATACCGTTCTCAATATATCGCAAGTCCCTTTGCACCGACGCATTTTCAATCAGTCGATCTGGTTCGATATCTTCCCGGCTACTTTATTGTATAGCAGTGCGTGGAACTCATGCTTTTATCTTACCGTCTACACCATTCGGGCATTGGGCTTTGTGGAAGATGAATTCACTATAATCTCAAGGAACATTTCGCTCTATGTTGTCCTTTTCACGTTTGGAATCCTTTACTTTGGAGCTATGGTTCCAGCGTATGCCATTTTTGTCCGCGTTGCTGTTTCGCTGAACCCATTCCAGGACACTCGGAGACAAACCAGGAATTTGGATATCAAGAGCGCATGGGGTAGTTTGTCATGGTCTACTCTTCGTATGCTTCTTGGGCCATTTTACATGGTCTTTCTCTTTGAATTCGCGGCTGCGTCCTGCATCATGTTGTGCTCCCTCATGTACTTCCCAGAAGACAAGTACCATGAGGTAGGGCGGGTTTTTGTTAAATACGCCGGGTAGACTGATCTTGTTCACGAGGATAAGCTTTCTGAATACGAGACAAGATAAAAACAAAAATCAGTGGCAAAAAGTTGGTTGTATTCAATTTACAGTCCCGGTTACCTGGAACAATCTTACGCCTCTGTGGAGTCCGAATTCACAAGAATGCGTGCGAGAACGCATGCTAGGAACATGTAGGATTATTGATTACTAGTAGCAGTGGTTCAAGATAAAAGGGGTATCTGTAGTAGTTACCACGGTTTAGTATCTCGTCCTGTATCTCAAAAGCAACCTCGGTGATCGGCCCATCAACTCGCTCAAACATCATGTCCATCTGGAACTATTTGAAACTCACGACGCACGCACGATCAACAGGTCGGATCATTGAAATATGCTTTCTCGGGCACCTTTGTCCGCAGCCTGAATCAATCACCAAAGTAACGCTCAAGGGATCAAGGCGATCAGCCCCAAGGTGAAAAGGTCAAGGGGTCTAAAGCCCACACCGAGACCACCAAGCTCGATTGTCGCTATGGGATATCTGGGGCGTTTAGATGCGGAAGAATGCAGGCCCACAGCAATATCCATCATGGAGACGAGGTTGGTCTTCGTCACCCTCTACCTAATCGAGTTTCCGCTCAAGGTCTTCCAAAGGTAGAATCTGCTTATAGAAGCGGAGCCCGGCGAGCCGTTGGTGTAAGGTATAAGGACACGCATTTTTATCAGTCTGTTTCTGTTCGAAAATGCATGAATGGTCGACCAAAATGATAATGAAGACGTTGATTAGGTAGACGGTCCAGAGGATAATACTGATACCAGTATCCATGCTCCCATTGAAGAAGGAGCAAGCGTATCGAAATAGGGCTAGAATAAAATAGGTCACTTATAGACTTATAAAGCTTACATAGATAGTTATAATACTAGTAGTTCTGACTATTATATATCTCTATGAAATAATAAATAGAGAAAACCTATAAGGACCGCGAATTAGTATTAGCCTACCCCTAAAGAGATACTTATAAGTATATTATATACTAGATAAACTACTATAGGATAGGTTATACTAGCTTATAGGGAGAATGATAAATAGGAGGTATAATAGAGGGTACTAATTCGATACTAGTATAATAATAAAGAAAGACCAAAAAGGAGGTGATTTAATAATAAAGTAGTAGATTAAAGGTAAGGAAGATAAAGTGGCTATGTACTATAGACTCTGTAGACTACTATATACTATATCTTAAAGAAACAAGCGTTGTCTGAAGGGCTCCAATTTCCAGCATCAAAAGGGCGACCCCACTATCAATGTCAGCCGCCTGAAAAAAAAGCAAGCATAGCGGGCCCCATGTGCACGATATCCCTGGAATGGGAGCATTCAAATATTTGTAGGTGTGTGAAATTCTGCTACATCTGGGCCATGATTTTTAAGCTTACCCTGTGATCCCTAGGGCTGCCCAGGTGAGCAGTAGTCCACAGCTTTGTTTGTTTCTCTGAGAATATGCGCCCTACCGCCTGGACAGCGCTTAGCAAAATGCACAATGACGCAGACGTTGCTACAGAGCGACCTATTTCCGACTCAGCTGAGATGACCTGCTCAGGTGCATGCATAGGCGCCTAATGGGGCGGTGGAATTCAACCCGACGAGGCGATGTTGTCAATCTGCTTCGCGGCGTCGACAGAGCTCGGGTTTGTCGTAAGCTACCTAGTTTCTGTCAAGCATCGAATTCCAAAGAAAATCCACATCAACCCCAAAATATTTAAATTAAAGTCGCAGATTACTTTCTGAATCAGGTATAACTTATGTAGGTCTCTATATACAGCTCCCGAGGTCGATCAAAATATCCAGTGCCCTAGGGCCCAAGACTGAGCTTTCTCTAACAGAATTAGTAAAAATGATGAACTCGAATAGTGCAGAGCTATTGCAAGCCTTCGAAATAGCAACTGTTCAGCTCAAGTTTTGTCCTAATCGTGTTTGGGCTGTCGCAGGTGAGGACCTACCGAATTTGCTACCGCATGTAGAGACACATGAGGATCATATCGAGCGAAACAAACACGAACTCTGCACTTTCGACTTTTGCGAATATTCCCGCCGTGACTTCACATCCGTCCCGCAGCGGTGTGAATGTAAGACAGAAGATTGCAGAAAGATCGGGTATCAGTTTCCAAGAAGAGTACTTGACGAAGCTGCGAGAAGTGGCAAATCAACTGTGTGGAAGTTAGCTGGACAAGTCATGCTTGAATCTCCACGACCTTTTATGGCAGTCTCGCACGTCTGGTCAGATGGAACCGGCGCCGGATCCTGGCAAGAGGGAGAAGTTAAGGAATGCCTATATGGATTTTTCCGAGATATCGCAGAGGACTTTGGATGCGAGGGAATATGGTGGGACACGATTTCCATTCCACGGGAAAAGGCTGCTCGCACGCAAGCTGTAAGCAGAATGCACATCAACTACCAGGACGCTCGGATTACTTTGGTGCATGACTTGTTTCTGCGAAACTGGGAGTGGGACCCTCAAACTGCCTGCTTCGCTATTCTTATGTCGCCTTGGTTTAGTCGTGGCTGGACTGCCCTAGAGTTGGCTCAATCACCTAAGGTTAAAATCATTTTCAAAGGTCCTCAAGGCCCAATTATTAAAGATCTGGATGAAGAAATTCTCGCAAAGGAAGATAGCGACGAGGAAGATAAGCATGAAGTACGTCGAAGACGAGCATCTCAGATTATCCGCAACCTACGGAGGCCAATTACTTCAGTGAACAAGCTCTTGGCGGTGCTAGGCTCACGTTATACCTCTTGGCCAAAGGATTTATCTATAATTTCAGCACTCCTAGTGGGTGTTGAACCAGATGAATCACAGCAGAACACCTATATGCGCATAGTACGAAAATTAGCAAAAGTTTCACCAGGTCACCTCTTCCACAATGCTGCGACAATGTCTGGGGGTTCTAGTTGGTGCCCTACAAGTCTATTCTCAATGCCGTTGGACAATAATCCTCGGTCCAGCCTCGGATTCTCAGATACTGGTATTGAAGGGAAGTGGCGCATTATTTCTATGGGAAAGGCACTTGAAAGCAATTTCATGTGGACCGGATCGCATCCGTTAATACGGCATCGAATCCAAGATACCCTCAAGAAGTACCCCAAACGGTGCTTACTTTTAGCTGAGTGTGGTAGCGAGCCCACTCAAAGAGCTCTGCTGGTGAGGATTCTCTCAGAGGGAGGAGAGAATTTTCAGCCTATTCGCTGTCAATATGTTGGTGCAATTAACTTACGCAATAAAATGAAATTCGAAGAAGTCAAAGAAGTGGTGATCGTCCACTCAGATAGAATTTTGTCAGAGCAGAAAGAACAAACACCCATGACTTTCGAAAAGAAGACCAGCGAAGCTCTAAGGCAGGCAATATGGAGAAGAGACTATGCCGTGTTCATGAAGCTGGTTGGGCAAGTGGACTTGAATGACCCGGATGAACTTGGGCGGCGGCCATTACATCTTGCTGCAGAAAGAGGACAAGACCAAATGGTACGGCACTTAGTACATTTAAGAGCTGAACTGAACTTGCGATCTCATAATGGGCAAACCGCATTCCACCACGCTGTCTGGGGAGGCTCTGTTCAAGTGGTGGAGTTTCTCAAGGAGAGAGTTGATGAAATGGCGACAGACAGGAACGGGGATACGGCATTGCACATAGCCACTCATATGGGATTTTTCTTCGTTGCAAAGGCTCTCGTCAGCGATCGTACCATCGATGCACAAGGCTCTAACAACCTGACACCACTTCATATCGCATCGATAAATGGCCACTTAGAACTGGCTAACATGTTCAAAGATGCCAACATCGCAAGCAAAGATAGCAAATTTGGCTGGACGCCGCTACACTGCGCGGCAGATAGTGGAAATCAACATTTGGTGAGACTTTTGCTTGACCGAGGGGCGCAGGTTGACGTGCAAGATAAATACGTTGGTTGGACACCATTACATTTCGCGGCAATAAACGGACATGTAAAGGTGGCGGATACGCTACTTTGCTTTGCAGCCAGCATCAATGCCGAAGATAAATACGGATGGACACCTCTAGAGTTTGCTGAGGCAAATGAACATGTGGAGGTAATTAAGCTGCTGAAGCGTAATGCCGCCAATTTTCCCGCCCTCACTGCCGAAGTTCTTCCATATGGACACAATTGGACACTTCCACACTGCATGGCGATCAATAATGAACGAGGCCTGATCAAGAAATTGTTCAACATCGACATCAAGCACTCTTTTGATAGGAGTGCTCCCGACGCGCCAATACAGCTTGCAGCTGCGAGTAAGCTAGAGACCACGATCCGGAAAATGCTCCACAACGGCACCGGTTCTATTGAAGTTCTGGCATATGAAGGTGACACGCCACTGCACTGGTCGGCACGGCACGGATATGAGAGGTTGACGCGTGTGCTGCTCAACGTAGGCCCAGATAACAGGGAGGCCAAAAACCATGCCACTCGAACGCCTCTGCATTGCGCTACCGAAGAAGGGCAAGAGGCTACAATACGTCTCCTGCTAGATGCCGGTGTCAACAAGGAGGCCAAAATTGAGGGTGGTGAACGATCAATGCATCTTGCTGCCAAGAAAGGACACGAGGCTATTGTGCGTCTGCTGGTAGATGCTGGTGCTGACAAGCAGGCCAAAACTGGTTCGGATGAAACGCCATTGCATTTTGCTGCCAAGAATGGACACAAGACTATCGTGCGTCTGCTGGTCAATGCTGGTGCTGATAAGGAAGCAAAAAGTGTTTCTGGAGGAACGCCATTGCACTATGCTGCCGAGAAAGGGCACGAGACTATTGTACGTATGCTACTAGAGGCTGGCGCTGATAAGGAGGCTGCGACCCGTACTGGTTACACGCCATTGCATTTTGCTGTCAAGAATGGACACAAGGCTATTGTGCGTCTGCTGGTAGATGCTGGGGCTGACAAGGAGGCCAAACTTGAGGGTGGTGAACGACCATTGCATCTTGCTGCCGAGAAAGGACATGAGGCTATTTTCCGTACACTCCTCGAGGCTGGCGCCGACAAGGAGGCCAAAGTCAAACAAAACGATAGGCCATTTCATCTTGCTGCCAAGGGAGGACACGAGACTATCGTACGTATCCTACTAGAGGCTGGCGCTGATAAGGAGGCTGCGACCCGTACTGGTTACACGCCATTGTATATCGCTGCTTATTTTGGACATGAGACTATCGTCCGTCTATTACTGAGGGCGAACGTCGAAACGGAACCATGGAACAATTATAATGGTCGAACACCGCTACATGAAGCTGCTCGAAACGGACGTAAGGCTATCGTGCATCTGCTACTAGAGGCGGGCACCACAAAGGACCCCATAGATGACAATTTGCAATCGCCGCTGCAATATGTGACTAACCACAAGTATACATGGGATGATGACGCTGGAAACGGGTGTAAGGCTATCGCGCGCCTGTTGCTCGGGGAGGTGAAAGACAATAATTCTTAAACGTCACTGCGGATGGCAGCCGCGGCAGGGCATGAGAAATTCGTAGCGTTGCTCGAAGAGGATGGTGCCAACAGACCGAAGATTCCAGATCTTTGGAACCTGAGGTTTCTTCAACACAGCTAGGTACAATGAGCCGCTCAGGCAGGTCGTACGATAGATCATGAAGCGCCGATATTCAGTCCAGATGTTAATCTCGACATCAATGCAACAGCCTTCCCCGTGGGGCCATCATTTCGTCAAGTCTGCAAGAAAATACATGACGACTTTTCCAGTCCCATAAGATACTGCTAATTCTTTTCAACGCCTGTGCAATTCTTTGAGAATAATGTCTATACGATCCTGGATTCGCCCCTTCAAGCCACACATATTCAATGACAGAGGTAGGATCCGAGCCTCTTAACCTGTAGTAGTGTTGGTGGAAGTCATATTGAAGAGCACTGCGGGACCTAGTGGATCTAGAAATGACGGAACTGCTGCCGCTGCTGCCGCCGCTGCTGCTATAACTGAGACGAAGCGCATGAATCCGATCATGATCGACCGGAAGCCTCTTTATGCCCGTGATGTCGATCTACCATAAACTTATAAGCAGGCAAAGAAGTCGAAACACTGGGAGTTCTAGGAAAAAGCTATGGAATAACAGATTAATGATCTCCTTGCCTAGAATGCCTACTCGATCGTGCCTAAGCCTCGCGGTAAGCTAGCCAATACTCGGCAGATGATACTCGAAAATCAAAGAGACTGACTGTATTCGACATATCGAAACCTGTATACTACCGATCCATGGGCTGTATACGGCGTGAAAGCTTGGATCGAAGTTCTCCATCATCATACAAAAGACCAATATCCGCACCTGGGTAGGGCGCGTCAAGTTCATCTTTCAACTTCTGTGCAGTTTCAGTTGAGAGCCACATATATCTCTCCACCATTCCCGGGTTTGCTAGCCCACCTCCATATGTACCTCGAGTTTCTTCGTGTTCATTTCCACAGGGATATTGCCCATACCCGATCTCCATATCATGGTAGCTGACAGTGGGACTCGTGAGATCATCTCTAGGCTCCAGATCAGTCTGTAAGCCTGGTGCAGTGTGATCAAAGTCTTTGAAGTAGTGAAAGTCCGGGGGGGTTATGTCGCGCGCCTTCATGATTTCCTCAAGGTATTGTAGGTAGAATGGATTTTCACTTCGCCTGGCAGCCACATACAAGGATCTGGTGTAGGGGGGCTTCAAACTTCGGAATATCGAACCGTAATCACACATGATACAAGTGATCGCAACTTGATGTCCCATGGACGGACACTTTCGAACCAGATCAGCTAAAGTGTTCGCAGAGGGCTTCACGGGCCCCCATATAACCCATGGGAGGCAGTCCGAGTCATCGTCGATACCAGAGATATCATTGTTCATTATCATGCGGGCATTAATTGCAGTGCGAATCTCTCTACACTCCCGTTCATTGCCTTGGCTGAGCAATTTACCTGGGAGGATAGCCCGTCCAGGGTTTGTTTCCAGCTGATAGGCCCACCATCTAGCGAAGGTTGTACTGTGATAAATGCCACGAAGAATACAATTGTATTCAAGTTTGGTTCTTAGCCTGCGTGGGTGCATTAGTCGACTGTATCGATCCACATTGCCCTCCCACGCGGCTATCTGTGTCTGAAGGCGCTTCTCAAGATTTGGGAGATCAGGCGGAAGAGGCATCCACAATTGATCGGACTGGCCTGGGCCCAGTTCAGCGTAGTCCTCCATTCCACTGATATCCTTCAGGCTGACATCTTCAAAGCCGATAAATCCATCTTCCTCGATATCAATATCATCAGCAGTCGTCTCAGGTAAATTTTTACCAGGGAGAACTCGCTGTCCCAAAGTCCATCGGGGCTTCATATCGCCATTCAGAAACACAGGCGTTCGTGGGGTTTGAAGATGAACAGATCGAGAGAAATCTTCCATGATAGCATATCGTTGGGGGGCGGACATGATAATCTTGTAGATTTCAGCGTCTTTGTTAACTTCGCGGGATTCTTCCGCGATAGAAACGTCAGGCAAAAGGTCCAATTCTTTGTAGAGATCTGTATAGCCTGCTGCAGCACACGCTCGGCCCACTTGATACCGCATAGACGGATACCGACGGGCAACTTCGCGATATACTCCCTCTGATGCAAGGTCGGGATACCAGATACAGTACGGCTGAGAGGCAGGATTTTGCATATCGGGGATGATGTCACTCATTATTAGGCGAGCATTGCGGGCGCGGGAAAATTGATGGGCCTGGCCATCATCGCCGGAGCATAGCTCAAGAATTGCCGGGCTTGTTGCAAATTGAAGTGAATCACGAATCCCACGGATAACTGCTCTCTGGTGCCAAAACGAGCTTAGATCGTCGGGGAGATCCTCCCCCTTTATTGCCGCAGCACATTGATCGGGGTCGCATGCAGGTATAGGTTTGCCGGAAGAGTCATACGCCTGTCTTTTCGGTAGAACGATATTGTATTGGCCCATCAGGCTGATACCGGACTTTTCGGTAGCCGCCATTAGGAAATCATACGGGTAGTGATGCCAGTGGCGCTGATGCTGCGTGCAGTGACAAGGTGGGGAAAATGAAGTTCGACGTTGAGAAAAAGGAAGGGGGAAGTCAACTTCTCGAAGGACAGGATTGTGCTTCGACCAGCAAGTATTCATAGACGAAGTGACCGGCCCCTGTAATTTCGGATACAAAAATACGGACCCTCGCATAGGACGGAAAAGGCCGATCAAGAAAAGACAAGGCGGAAGTGGAGGAAGGTGTTGATTGAAATCAGGAAGCATGGCAGGGCCCAAAAACGAAGGGGGGGCTCTATAAATCTGTATTCTAGTACTAAATTGACTACTCTATACATTTCCCACTCTATATTAATTAGTTTACTGCATGGTGGTGTAAAAGCTGGTTGAAGTACAAGTGACGAAAAAAGTTGCATTTGGGTGGCGGACCCTCGCTATGCGAGGAGCCGTATTTTTGTATCCGAAATTACAGGGGCCGGTTAGATCGCACCGCCTTTTTTTTTATTATTTTAATTTATTTTTCTTCTCGATTCCACTCAGCTTTGACATTCAATTTGCCCCTGCAGTGGACCTGCGACGGCAACTGTACCGTAAACTTACAAGCTCATACACAAACCATGAACAACGTTAGAAGTACGTCGAGACTATGAATATCATTCCAACCGCGATTTCTTTCCACGTTTTTTTTTTTTTTTTTTTTAATTAAATTCCGCCAAAAATAAAAATACAAGAATGGCTAATCTCGAGAGGTGCCCCTGACTCCAAACAGAAATCGCGGTTTCCAGAGACTCTCGGAGGACCCTGGGGAGATTCTATACTAGCCATCACTGCCGATGTTGGATAATATGTAATAGAACATCCACGATAGCTTTAAATTGCACTCATCTGCATCTCTTGGATCCTGAATGAGGAATATCTTAAATGTGTACGTGGTACTTAGTAAGACTGATCGTGCAACTTGAGGGCTAGTAGAAAACATTATTTACATCTTTCCTAGTTCACCGAGGATGAACGCCAAATCTCTCGAGGATCAACACTCATCTATCCAAGATTTATCCTCCCAAGCAACGATCTCTTGCCAATGGCTAACACTCGAGTCGCTTGCTGAAGGACCATTGGTACTGGGTAAAACGTCTCCAAGCTCATTGGCCTGTGTATCAAGATATACAGTCAGTACCTGTAGGGCCTATAAGATGACACCTTGAAAGAAGGGAAACTCACCCAGGTTTGAAAATCAACTCCACTTTCAATGTTCTTCCCTTCAATCTTTGCAGTGTTGAGTGGATCGGCAAAGGTTGCCGGAAAGTCGATTGATTGGTATTTGGATATCTTGGCTGCACCTGGAACTCCGGTCTCTGCGTCGTCCACGGTGGCAACAGTGGTACGGGTTATACCGTCCTCAGTTTTTTGGAGATTCCAACCATCGTCTCTGGTTAGATACTTGATCAGCCAGTTGATTGTCGAGGCTTTCCTGAGGAGTATCATTCGTTGACTAATCGTGTCGGCGCGACTAAGACGGTTGGAAACATCCCCAATACTAGACTTCTCCGCATCATTTCTGATTGCGTCCACCCTTTCCGTGACTTTCTCAATGAATCGGGTATGAATTTGAGTGCTGTCACCTACCTTGAGGTAAGGGTTGACTTCTTTCATCTTAATTAGCCCATCAAGATGTTTATCAGTCAACTCCTGCTCTGCCCTCACAAGATCATCCTCAGAATCTGGCGCCGTTATGTCAGGATGAGTCTCGATCGCCGTGTTTTTGCCTCCCAATCTTAGCATGAACTCAGGATAATCCAAAGCATAATTTGTCGACGTCTCCGAGCCGCCAACAGTTATCAGATGTCGATTATCTCGCCCGGCCGAGACAAGTGCTGTTCCGTCATTCTTCAAGCGGAAAGGAAGTATGAGTTTTTGTTTATTGTAACCGTCAATTTGACTATATTGAAAGACCGAAAACTTAGTCATGGTCAACTGGAATATTGGATAGATGCTCTAAGAAGGCAAAACCCTCTCGGTGATAACATACCCAATTATCTTATAGGCCTCCCATAAAAACAGCTTTTCGTAGGCATGGGCACGTTCATTAAGCCCGTTATCAATGATACCTTCAACATCTTCAATATTGGCTCTTCGATGGTGTGTGTGCAAATGATTATGAGAAACGGAATGGGCTGCATAGCTGAGGCTCGTAAAATGAACAAGCCACACTATCACAAGGCCCAGAATAGAGAACGCAGGCACCCGGGAGAGCATCGTGATAACCTCAGTCTTGGTTGATCGGAGGTCAAAGTTTTAAAAAAAAGATAAAGAGCTCGGTCAATTCAAAAGACGCAGACGGACCAGGCTCTCAAGTTCTTTTATGGGAGACTCTTTTCCCACCTTTCCCAAATGAATAGTCCGAGCATACTAAAATCTCCCTGTACTCCGTGCCACGAGTTATTATCAAAAGTTCGGTCTCTTGGCAAACCCTAGCCGATCCTGCTATTCCATTCCGTACTCCATACAGAAGCCATACTAAGTTTACTCCGAGCCGTGACCCTGGGAAAATAACCAAAGCATGGAAGCGAAGCTAATTGTATCATGTACGTGCTAGTACCGCAAGGCCGAGACACCCAGATTGAAGACATATTACAATTGGTGCTCACGAATCAGCTAGCATTAGCGCTAAATTAGTTTCTTCGGTTGCTCGTCAACCGGCCCCTGTGATTTTTGTATCAAGAATTACAGGGGCCGGTTAGTAGTTGGGGCCAAAATTTGGGATGGGCAGGGGGCCATTTTCAGACCCACTCAGATACTGATAAAAAATACCGCGCGAGGCTGTGCGGAGTATTATAAGACTCTTCAGACCTATGCTTGGCAAAGCTTGTATGTACTTCTTCGTACTGTGCCGTCTTGATCTTGGAAGCGAACCTTGGAAGATTGCATTGTCAAGCCTGAAGTAGTCGTCTCTAAATGTCCACTAAGCCCCTGACTAGGACCTTGACTAAGACACTGGCCACTGGTAGCGCCGAGTACATATATGTATGGGGTTACTCTAATAGCCAATCACTGATCAGCCGGATATCAGGGCCGGGGCTGGCTAATTACCAATTCAGGAATATTGTGCGATGCTTCGTATAGTGCTCTGTCCAGTACTCCGTAAATCGCCACTTTTTTCAATATCAAAACAAACAATGAAACGGACCTCCGTACTCCATGGTAATATTCTGATCCGGCTGTTACTAGCTTCACCAACACCCCTACTAGCTTCACCAACACCCCTACTAGCTTCACCAACACCCCTACTAGCTTCACCAACACCCCTACTAGCTTCACCAAATCCTGTCAAGGTAAGACACACGGAGACCTAGGGGCTCCCAGGTGCCGAGGATGCCCCGTCCCACATCGCTTCAAGCTCGTAGTCTGCAAATTGTGCGTGGCCATTCAATAATGGAGTATAGGTTTTTGCAGTCTACCTATATATTAAGTAGTTATGGGTATATCTTAACATCATCTCCGCCGTCCTTTCAAGTTTCTTTTCATTTGCCAACTACCATTTCGCCTAGGCAGTCTTTCTCTTCATTCTTTTACGATGAGGACTGCCATAGGGGCTTTCGTTCCTTTCCTCTCTTTGAATTTCCTCATTACCCTTCCTTCTCTTGCCTATGCCTTGCCTGCCCCTGGTTGTCCAGAGTCCTGCTCAGTTGTCGGTTCAAATCCGAGTAACTGGACCTGGATTGTTGACCAAAGTTATTTAAGCATTTGTGAGCAGCCTATCTTATTTGACTATCATATCGACCGGGACTCGAGCTCCAACTTGGTTGTACGCTCTTGTGCTGTCCTTGAGCCTTTCCCCGAGCGATCCCAAACCTTGAATGTGCAAGAAATGAAATGGAGCAATGTCAATAGCAAGGATTCAGAAATTGTCGAGCAGTCATTGATCGTATCGAAGTATTGCGGGGCATCCCAGCAACCTTCAGATGTTACCGTTCGGGTGGGCCCTGCTGGTACTATCAAGGCTACCAATGATTCCAATACCGCAATCGCGAATCTAGCATCCTACATGACCAATGCTGCGTCATGTGGCACTACCATACTTCTGTCAAAGGCTGGGGACTCCGTGGCTGCGCTTTATGCCGGTGCAGATGTCTATCAAAGCGCTGTTGGATCATATCTTCTCGACTTCGACAAGCAATTTACAGCCGGATCCCAGACAGCTCAATCCTGCGACTCAAGCTCGAAGCGAGATTATACCATTGGTGTTTATATTGTGAACTCATTGGATGAACTTGAAGATATCGATCACGCCTTGCAGACATGGTCCGAGGGCAACTGTCTTGACTCGGACGGTCATGACTCGATCCAATTAAAGACCACTTTGCTTGGTGTCTCTGAAGTCAGCAAGAGATCAATATCCTCACCAGTCGAAGGTTTTTTAGCCCCTCGTGGTGATTGCAGGACCGTCGAAGTCATCTCAGGAGACGGTTGTGCGTCATTAGCAAGTCGCTGTGGTATATCAGGAGCCGATTTTGACAAGTACAACACCGAGACTAGTCTTTGCAGTACCTTGAAAGTTTCGCAACGTGTTTGCTGCTCAGCGGGATCTCTGCCAAATATCATCCCTAAGCAGCAGTCAGATGGCACTTGTGGCACCTATACTATCCAGGCGAACGACAACTGTGCAGATCTCGCGGTTCATTTTGGTATCACACAAGATGATATCTATGAACTCAACAAAGAAACTTGGGGGTGGGCTGGCTGTGGCGTGAACGATCTCAAAATAGGCCAAATCATCTGTTTGAGTGAAGGCAATACCCCCATGCCGGCCCCATTGAGTAATGCTGTTTGTGGTCCTCAGGTACCTGGTACCAAAGCTCCGTCAGGAGATTATAATGGTTGGAATCTTACCAAGCTCAACCCTTGTCCCCTGAATGCTTGTTGCTCAGGTTGGGGCTTCTGTGGCACCACTGGTGAATTTTGTACCGAGTCACCCGCCTCGACAAAAGCCCCAGGGGCCTTCCAAAGTGGCAAAAATGGATGTATCTCCAACTGTGGCACAGATATCGTTAACAATGATGACGCTCCGGACAAATTCTACCATGTTGCTTATTTTGAAGTCTTCAACCTCAAGCGCGACTGTCTGAACATGGACGTCAATGAAATCAGCGACACATCCGTGACCCATGTGCACTTCGCTTTTGCTGGATTGACTTCCGATTTTGATGTTGCATTCGAGACCGATGAGTACGAAGCGCAGTTTGAAAAATTCGTCAAGAATGATGCTTTATACAAAAAGATTCTTTCGTTTGGAGGTTGGGCCGAGTCAACCTCCGCCGCAACGTTCCAGCTTTACCGTGATGTCGTCAAGTCTGGAAATCGTGAGAAGTTTGCTACGAATATTAAGGCATTCTTTGAGAAATATGATGGACTAGACGGTATCGACTTTGATTGGGAGTATCCTGGAGCCACTGATATCCCTGGCGTACCTGCAGGCTCCAAAACTGACGACGACAATTACCTTAATTTCCTGAAGTTGATGAAGAGCACCCTTGGCGATAAGTCCCTTTCAATTGCTCTGCCTGCTTCATATTGGTACCTGAAGACATTCCCAATCGCCAAAATGTCCGACTATGTTTCATACTTCATCTACATGACTTACGACCTTCATGGCCAGTGGGGTGAGTTTATAAATATCATCCCACGTATATTATTGATGAAACTCACTAACCATCAAGATTTGAATAGATTATAATAATGCCTACGCAGATGAGGGCTGCCCCACCGGAGACTGTCTTCGATCGCATGTCAACAAGACTGAGACTATCAACTCTCTTGCGATGATCACCAAGGCCGGTGTGCCTGCGAGCAAAATCTTTGTTGGAGTTTCAAGCTACGGTCGCAGCTTTGGCATGGTCGACCCAACCTGCACTGGCCCTATGTGCAAATACGGTGGCGCTTTTGATGTTTCCACTGCCGAGGCTGGAACTTGTACCAACACTTCTGGCTACATCTCAAACGCCGAGCTCAATCTGATCATGGAGGGTGTGAATGCGAGTGATAGCGGCTACAAGGGCCGCACGTGGTATGATGAGGATTCCGCTTCAGACATCATGGTTTACGGTACTCAAGGCGAAATCACTACTTGGGTGGCATACATGTCCGACGACACCAAGGAGGCACGCATTGATTGGATCAAAGGACTCAACTTTGGAGGCGTCACTGATTGGGCTATCGACCTTCAAGACTGGAACTTGGGTGTTGAACCCGACTCCGATGAAGCTCAGGACATTGATCTTCCCGCTCTACCCACTGGATGTTCTTCTCACGATTGGCCGGACAATCTGGAGGACTTGAGGAACAACATTGATAAGATTGATTTAGGCTGTCGGGCTCAGGCTGTTGTTTGGGTTTTAATCAAAATTCTTCCCGACATCCTGAAAAACTATCAAAGTGCAGCTGACAATTATGATGAATACGTGAGTCTCCCCCCCCGTGATGCTTTCGCATTCAAGCTAATATGCCTCTAGTTCAAATATTATGCCGAATGGGTCAGAAACGGCATCGATGATTCATTGCCACGCTTTATGTGGGGTGATGGAAGGGATTACATGGACTGCAAATGGTCATCTGCATCAGATGGCAGTGGCGATGCGGCTTGTACAGAAATGGTCGTCCCAGAAGGACAGCCAGGCCAAGGTCAAGTCGTTATCACATATACAGTACGTGATGAAGATGGGTTTTACAAAGCCCTTCAAGCCGATTATGGAATTGAGAAGGACTGGATTATGTGGAAAGACACATATGCCGACCCTGAGAATGTTGTTACCTGTCCCCCTTGTCCTAACCTTACCAAAAACTGCCCTCCTTGTGCTGGCCATGGCGTGACTTACCACAATTGGCCAGTAAAGGCTGCGGACGATAACATCAATGTTCCTAATCTCAAGAAAATCATCGATACTGCAGTACCTAACATCACGGCACTTCAAGACGTCATTCTTGGGAGTTTCATCCAGATGCGTATCGGGGTCATGGATGCTTCGGACGAAGACGTCGCTACTGCGCTCAGCATGCCCGTTTTCATGATTGCAGACACAACCGAACAAATGAAGAACATTACAAAAATCGGCAAAGAACAGGAAGCGGCCGATGAGAAGGCTAAAATCAGTTTCATCTTGGACATTGTCAGCATTGTTCTTATGATCATTCCGTTCGCTGGAGAGGCAGTCGAGGCGATTGGTGGCGTGGCGAACGTTGCCCGTGCGGCTTGGGTTATCGGCGAGGCTGGCAACGCAGCTCTTTCTATCTATGATATTGTGAAGGAACCATCTTCAGCTCCCTTCGCCATCCTTGGTCTCGTCATGGGAGCCGATGCCTCGGTTGTTGGCAGGGCTAGCAAGTCGACTTTCACCAAAGCTGCTGCTTTCCGGAAAGCGATGACCGATGATACTCTGAGCTCCTTCAGCAAAGAGTTCCGGACGAATGATGCAATTATACAGGACATTATAAAAGCTTGTAAAAAGGCTTGATGCTCATGTTGTGAAAGAATGCTAGCGGTATGTATCTCGAGTCGGGCAGGGTAATTAGTTCTAGAAATATCACTCTTAAACACATTTCCTTTTTTCAAATAGCAATACCACCCACCCTTTATGTAGGAAATACTGCGAGAAATGATGCCAGTGCTTGGTGGGAAACGGAGTACAGTGGACTCAGACTCGGACTTTGAAGAGCAGAGGTGTCACTTTGACTAAAAACCCTCTCATTTTCGTGAAATCCAATAGATACGAGCTAATGATTGGACCGCCCGGGCTTTCCTGTCACTTTCCATAAAGGTCCAGAATAGCGATCGAGATGAATACGAGTAAGATTAAAAACTTTGGAACATTGAAGTGTTCGTTATCATGAGATTGAGGAAAGCATCTTGGTACTTGCTACAACCTTGGAAAGAACCAGTTGACATCATCCAGTCTACGTAGGTAATTCAAGGGCCACTTTCAAATTGGCGATCCCCCGAGCTCCTCATGAAGCCGCTCATCTTCTAGTCTCTTCTCCAATTGTCCCTGTTCCTTTTGAGCTCTCCTCATATGGGCAAGGCCCTGATCTAAATTGGGCTGGTCATTATCTGGATCTGACTCTGGAGCCTCTCTTCCGTCTTCACCTTAGGTCCCTGCCCCATTACCTAGAGCAGCGTCTTTGCAGTACGCTTGCGCCTCCGTTGCTAAGTCTACGTCCAGGTTTTCTGCGAGGAGTACTGCCTCTAATACGACTCTGGTGTAGTCACTCCTGCCATCTGAGACACCTGATACAGCAGAAACACGAGAAAAGCGCGCGACAGCCATCTCCGGCTCGGCGGGCTCTATCGGGCCTTGAGCTTCGACAAAATTCGGATTTTCCTCAAAATATCGCAAGTCCCTTTGCACCGACGCATTTTCAATCAGTCGGTATGATTCGATATCTTCCTGGCTACGTTATTGTTTAGTAGTGCGTGGAACTCATGCTTTTATCTTACTATCTACACTATTCGGGTATTAGGCTTTGTGGATGATAAATTCACTATAGTCTTAAGGAATATTTAGCTCTATATTGTCCTTTTCACGTGTAAGGCCTGTCAACCGGGTAAGATACAAGGCTTTAATGATTGGGAGAGAGGATCAAATATATTTCTCAAGTTGCAAGACTAACTCTTGCAGGAGGAAACAGGATCCTAAGGATCTTGGGGTTCTTATGCTTGGATACAGTACCCCGCATTTACTCGAACCGAGTACCGAGCCGATTACGAAATAAGGATATATACTAGGAATATATATTATTATTAATTACTAGTAGTAGTGATTTAAGATAAAAGGGGTATTTATAGTAGTTACTATAGTTGAGTATCTTATCCTTTATCTTCAAAGTAACCTTAGTGATTAGCCTATTAACTCACTTATATATTATATCTATCTAGAACTACTTAAAACTTATAATAAGTGTATAATCATTAAGTTAGATCATTAAACCATACTTTCTCAGGAAGGCAATCAGCACTAAGGTAAAAAGGTTAAGGGGTCTAAAGCCCATACCAAGACCACTAAGCTTAATTATCGCCTTAGGATATCTAGGGCGTTAAGGTGCGGAAGACTATAGGCCTATAGCAATATTCATCATAGATAAGAGGTTGGTCTTTGTCACCCTCTATATAATCGAGTTTCCGCTTAAGGTCTTCCAAATGTTGAATCTACTTATAGGAGCGGAGCCCGATGAGCCGTTAGTGTAAGGTGTAAGGACTCGCATTTTTATCAATCTATTTCTGTTGGAAAATGCTTGAATAGTCGACTAAAATAATAATGAAGACGTTGATTAGGTAGACGATCCAGAGGATAATATTGATACCAGTATCCACGCTCCCATTGAAGAAGGATTAAGCGAGTACGGGCACGAAATGAAGGTTTTATCCCAGTGGAAATTGTAGGGGCAGAAGTAATGTACATTTACCGGCTGTTCAACAATCAGTATGTCGGGGCTTGGAATTCGTTGGTCAGATATCATGGGAAGGAGGAATAACCAAAGGACTATAGATATTTGGCGAGATACTTGGCCAAGTGGTGCTGGCGAGGGGATGTCAGGGCTGTTGAAAGGAAAGTTGAAGTTTTTCAAAAGTTGGCCCCATGACAATCTTGAGCATGTGCTAATTAACGGTCAAGCCCTGGAGTGCTAGGTAATTTGTCAAGGCGGAAACAAGAAAGCGATCTCTATGAAATGTGAATGCAGGTCATCAAGGAAGGAGCAATCTTGAAAAGGTCATGTCAAATTTACGCCTGTAACCTATACTATTCGACACCTTTCCCACCGCATACTATACTATTTCAAGTATCAGTTTTTGCAAAATGAGGTATTGTTCAAACATTGCAGGTGGGCCAACTTTAATATATATAAAGCACCGAATACACTTCTGTGCGGTTGCCCTGCGGTCGTTCTGGGGGTGGAAAGCAGTTGCGCGTATTGGCATTGTATGGTCCCTCTCTAGTTGAAGAGAGAAGAGCCCATGGCGATAGAAGAAAAGGTTGAGAAGAGGATCATATTGTAGATGGCCTCTCCCGTTCTCCTGGCTATAACACTGAAATGGGGGAAAAGTACATCTGAAAAGAAGTTTTAAAAAGACATCTGGAAGGAACTGTAACATTTTCACTAAGTGCGGCGAGACTTTACAAGGTAAAGTGAAGGAGATGCCCAGACGGGAAGGCAATGTGAATAGATAAGATCAGGTGCTCTAGGTCACGCGCTCCTTGGGGTAGTACCTACCGATCTGGATATATATAAATCGCTCTTTCCCCTGTTTTAGTCCCTCTTCTCGCCTTACCACCAGCATGATGATGCTCAACTCTCCAGGAATTGGATAGACACAATTCATATAAATATCTAGCAATCTCCAAAGTATGTATACTGTCCATAACGGGCATACATTGACACAGTGTAGTCCCTGGCGATCGCTTATTTTGATTCCAAGGTGTTACAGCCGAAGGGAATGCCCCGTGGCTAGCGATGGTGTGCCCTCCGTGCCATGCCATGAATCCCCATGGTGGACAACCTTGAAAGAAAGAATCCCAGTGAACTGTCAGACAATTGAAGAGGATTATCTTAAAAGACAGTCAAGGTAAATGTCGAGGACAAGGGGAATCAGAAATTGGGGAAGGAATGCTGCGGGTAACCTCGGTAGCTTTGAGAATGCTTTTTACCTAGGTATGTCAGTGTTCGAAAAATCCTTCTTATCCACCTCCTCGATGGGCCTTGACCCTCAGTTCTGCCGAATCATTTCAAATTAATGTGAATATTACGGATCCACCAATATTAATCCATAGATAACGTCAGAGTTTCCGTTGACCTTCATCTACGTGGTGAGTCTAAACACATATAGTAGCTCCGCGATACAAACCTTGAAAGGCACGCCAACAAGGCTTACCCTCTGGAGATGACAGCAAGGACGCCAATCCATCAAACAGTTGGGGGAATGAATTGGCGGCTACACTTAGCGAGAGGGCCGTATACTCCAAAGACGTCAGTCAATGCATGGGAGAAAGTGAACAGCTGGGGTATTTCCCGACACTACCTGATCAGAGGATGCCAATCGGCATCTTCTCGCCCTATAGCTCTCTCAATGGATTGGTTGTGGACCCTAGAAGACAAATTACTGTGAGAGCCAGTCCGAAAACCGCTCCAGTGAAGGAGTATGCGAGCCGAAATGCAAAATGCAAGTGTATTATTTCATGGTAGTCCGTCCCATCACTGCCTTGCAGATGGCAATAAAGGTAAACGAAGCCGGCAACCAGAAGAAAGTCAGTGGTTGTCCCTTCCAGCGAAGACACATGTAAAGATCGATGATGCATATTAGGTCCAGGGGGATAGTCCAATTTGCCATGCCATACAGCCCGCACATTCAATCAATCCTCCACAAAGATAGTGTTCCAGTAACTTTTTACCCCATCACAAATGCCTTCATACTCAATCCAACTCTGAAACTTATCTTCAAGCTCACAAGCCGTCCAAAGAATCTCTTCCCAGAATCCCTTCTCGACATCAGCCCTACTGTTGAACCCGCGTACGACATCCACCGGCAATGTCCAAGCCCGAGTATAAGTACCCTCATCCGTAAACGTGGGGCTCACCTCATGGGGCTCGAAAATGGTGGCGGGATTAAACTTAGGGAAGTTGGCGTGGATAAAGAAGACAGGTGGTGCGGGGGCATCATCGCCTTTGATACGCCATGTCCCGCGGCTTGTAAGGGCAAAGTCCTGTACGGGATCAAACTGGGCCATTGCGGAGCCCGCCATACCACCGTGGGTGCCGTGGCCGAGAGCACAAATAGGCTCGCTGACTTGATGGAAGGATTCGTGCAGGGCAGTCGCGGCTGCGATGAAAGTTTCCTTATCACCTTCTCCCGCAGCGCCCTGTGAGAGGAGTGGGTAGTAATGCGAGGGGCCGTGGTAATTGTAGTAAGTTGTAAGGAGCAGGGAGCGGAGATGGGACTTTTTGGATAAGAGAACCTCGCCTGACTCTGTTGACTGGCGTAGGTCCATTGGTGGAGCTGGGTAGTTTGCGATGTCGTAGAAGATTGGGGAGGCGGAGGAAGCCCAAAAGTCGGGCCAGGTGACCATGCCATTGGAGAGGAAGGGCTCGGTAGCGAAAAGACTCTCCGGTTTCTCAAGGGGAAAGGCATCCGCGTCTAGGAAGAGGATTTCTTCAAATGATGAGAAGAGCATTGCGAAGGGTTTGTATTGATATTTTTGAATTTGGGCTGGAGTGGCAATGAGGATGCGGGATAAGACTACGCATCGCGCGCTCAGGGAGGGTAGCACTTCATCGCATATGTAGGGTTCGTACTCGTCCTCGTCAGAGAGGAAGACTTCCATCGGTAGCGTGGAGCCGGTTCGGCGGAGCATGCGGAGGGATATCACTAGCACTGGGAGGTAGAAACCCCCTGCTGTCGAGACTATGCCTTTTGTGTCGGGTATGTAGGGGAGTTCAGGTGGGGAGTCGGTGATCGCATTAACGAACCCGGCATGCGCTTCTTTCATGGTGTTGATGTCTTCCTCTGGGACGTAGAGGGTATCTGGTCGCGGTAGTGCATTGTGAGCATTGAACCCTTCCGTCGGTGCCTTCTCATATTCAATGATTGGATCTGTATTGGGCGCATATCTCTCTAACAAAACATGGAATTCCCGCCAGAATTGTTGATGTGCGGGTGTCAGTGCTGTAGTTGCATTTGACGAGATGGGTTTGGGGATGTAGACTTTGAATCCCAATATTGCCCAGGTAAGAAAGATAGCGAGTCCCAAGGCTGTCAACAGCGTTCGCACGCGCAAAAATCGCGGGATCAGCGGGATCATCATGAAGTGTCTCGGATGTAAGTCCGTTGACCCCACAGAAGCTTGATCGGACTCTAAGATCGACGATCGAGCCAATGACGTCGCCAGGTACCCGTTTGAACCGTTGAGCTATCACAAGTTATGTAGACGACATTAGAGCGTTAGTGAGAAGGCTGACATTTCTGTGGTGAAGGCTTGCAAGATCATCCCTTGGTTGCACAGACCGCTTTGAGATTGACAACAATAGGCCTCTACATCAAAGTGTAGAGTATAGCATTCGTGTTAGACATAGTCTTGACAATCGGTAATATACGGGGCTCCCAAAATTATGAAATACTACTAATAATGCATAAATGACATGCTTAGAAGGTAAAGCATATCGGATATATATTTTTGGCGTTACGGTGTTCAGCAAGCTCGTTTCTAGATGGGTGGATGTCAAAATATTGGCAATCTATGTGGAATCCCCTGCCCCAAAGCCTAGAGATGGAGAGGAGAATAAAAACTCAATCGATAATCCACTAAGCAATGACTGTGTACTATATCTGTGTATCAACTTCAAATCTGATACGTGAAAGCGGGAAAGCCCTGTGCCGGTCCCCGTCTAACCTCCTCTCTCAAAGTCCTCAGCTCTTTATCTTTCTCTGCACTTTCTGCTTTCAATTCCTGATTCTTGTGAGTAAGATACTCAAGCCTTTTGAGCACCATTGACATGGTTGTCAGCTTCCGGGCAAGTTTATGTGACAGATCGACCACAAACTCTCCCCCCTCTGTGATAAGTTCGTCCATCTGGTCACCCACCAGCGTGGTGTACCGCAGTGCCACGAACTGGGATAGCAAATTTCTCGCATCGTCAGAAACACCGGTGGTTTTATAGATCAATCGAATTGCATCCACCAAGTATGGGAACAGGACCTTGTCCGTTTGCTCCAGGGCTACAAGAACCTCAGCCAGACGGTTCAAAGAAAATTGCTCCAATTTCGCAAAGTTGAGTTGTCTTGCGAAGGAATAGACTTTAGCGTGGAGATAAATCTCGGCAGCGTTATTTTCTTCGGCTTCTTGTTCTGGCTCTTCTTCTTGATGATGCTCTTGCCTTTCATGGTCTAGAATCTTTGATGCGGAGGCGTGATCTGCGGTCAGAGTGACCCCGTCGCAGTATTCCAACGGGGTCAAGGGTCGGTCATTCAAGTCGCAATCTGATATGCCCTGGGACGGTGGTGAGTCTGGGGCTATGGATACTGCCAACGGTGGCCTTGCACGTGCAAACGTTGGTGATGGCGAGTGTGGCCATGAAGATTGTGACTGTGGGCTTTCAGGTGGTGGAGGAGATCTTGAAGGTGGGGATGGTGGCCATGAAGCATGCGATGGTGACCCTGCCACTGGCGATGCTGGTGGTTCTGCATTAGCTGATTTGCATTAATGTCTCATTCAATTTTATGAGATGAATTGATGCAGGGGGGGATTTATTACCGGCTTCTTCATCCACTTCTTCCGTCTCATGTAATACTATCTCTTCTTCCTCTTCCTCCTCTTCTTCCTCCTCGTCTCCATCTTGCGCTGGGGCCTCGTCCCCCGCATCTACCTGATTTTCCTCAACTGCCGCAGAGGTCGCTTGAGGTGCCTGGTACCCTCCAGTGTAAAGGAAGCTCAATACACAATTGATAGTCTGCTCATCAAAAGCGGACCAGTCAATCGCATCTTCGTATTCGTCAGTTGACTCTTTCAGTCGGGCATCGAATGCGGGGTGGACTTCAAGCGTTCCACGGTGGACATAGTAAACGTGCTCATCCCTGCCAACAATAATCTTGACTGGTGGCTTTGCGAAGATCGACCTATTTAAGCGTTAGCAAGAGTTAGAGAAGTGGTGGATACACCATAGTCTTGTGTGGATGTACTTCGAAGTCTTCGGGTCGGACGACATGGTGGGAAACAAAACCCACAAGAGATAATACTGAATTTTCAGATGGCTCTTCAAGTTTTTTTTTATCAAGAACAGGGTGTAATTTGATGGTGGTTTAAGTAGACAACCACGGAGAACGGTCCTCGTAGCCAAGAAGTACTTGGCAAGTCCTTTTGACTATGCAGTGAGACCCAACCTATTTTAAAAGTAGGGCGGCCTCTAACAGGGGTATACGTGGGCTCACTAGGCTGTCGCATTCTCTTGCACATGATAAACCGGCATATATACATCATAGCTCATGGCATCTGCAGCTTCTATTAGTGTGCCCATGGCTTTACTAATTACTCCAAGAATGCAAGCCTACATACTTACATAGACAAATCACACTCTCCCTTTCTGGATTATTTCTACATTTTGGGCAGATCTTATATTAATCTACAGCACTAGCATAGGGGTACTGCATAAAACGGGAGATATAGATATACGTAAAGACGCCAGAAATATATAAACAGGCAGCAGGAGTGACTACTCTCGTACGTTTAGATTGGGATATGAATATCATGATTGTTTCATAATCTAAGAGAATCTAGACAATGTACGATCAGTAATGCAGCAATATGACTCGATCGGGCACTCAGGGGAATTGTGGAACTGACTACTGTCTTTCCTGACCTTTTCTCCTTCTCTCTACCTCTCTTCTCTATATTATGTACGTTCATCATAAATCCAATTATGTCAGACTATGATTGGCAAATATAGCTCTATTCCCCAAAGAAGGCGACGTGGGTATGCTATACATAATGGTGACATAAAAACTACCACTTGAGCGGGGCTGCCTAGGTGGTATTCTCTGAGGGATTATTGATAGCCTTTGAAGGTAAAATAGTGAGAGAACAATACATATATGAAGATCGTAGCTTAATTTTGAAAGGTCTACATTATACATAGTCCAGACAGCCCACCGCTATGCTGAGAGCCTGAATTCTATACCATAGACACACTCACCCATGACATAGCCGCTTCATTACGTTGGCAGGACAGGCTTTGCTTTTCGGATTATGAATATCTTAGAGGAATTTGCAATGCCACACAATAGTGAGGCGAGTTTGAAGACGAAGAAGAACCCCATTAAGGTCCACTACTGTTCTGATTAGTATTGATTGGTCATACAATTGATTGTATGCAGGGATTTTTGAGAGATTCACCTTGGTGTTGAAGTTAAAGAAGATTCGACCTGCAAGAGGCTGCAAGCAAGCACTGTTATGCAAATTCGAATGGGTTCTCTTACCAATAAGCTAGTTTCAAAAACACTTACCTAGCCATTTGATACGAACTGCCATACCATCCTATATCACTAAGAGAATGAAACTCCGTGGTCATCCTAGGTATTGTCTTGTCGAGTGTGAGAACAGATTCAGGGGAGAAGGGTAAATGAGAGCTCACAGTTGAAATAATGGACGTGTCCAGCATAACCAAAAAGCAGACCAAGGTAACCCCAGAAAGCACGAATATAAGCTTGAGACCGGTGAGATATTCTCGTTCGCCATTTTTCGGCCAAGAATCCTCGTCCAGATTTTTCTTCTCGATGTCTTCTGGACAACATGAATCTCCAGGGGCACCGTCTTTGGATGTAGGTTGAAATTCCGGAATGTGATTTTAGTCGATGCACCCACATTCTCTACCGCATGTCACTCACGGAAGACCCATCGTGGAATCGTGGACATATACCACATATCCTCGACGTTCTGAGATCAATTGAACAATGTGCATTTCTTTACGAGTCGGTACCATCAGCCATTGGAATGGAGACCGTGGGAGTGACATGTACACCCAAGCAGCAGAAATTCCGAGAGCTACGAAAGCTCTGTGGCGGAGGAAATTTGAAGAGACTAGTACAGTTCCGCCCACTATGAAAGATCACCATTCGAATAACAGTACTCTTCAAACAGATGAAGGCATTTTTGATCTACTAAGATGGCTGGTTTACAGACATTTTTCACTGGGGCGAACCTTTTCCTGTCGACACCTAAAATGGGGAGGGGGACGATTTTGACGAGAAATTTAGAAGAGGAATTTCAACAAGTAGAGCTTGTCTCAAGATGACGTTTATTGATGTGTTGATCTCCTGCTCCATGAACCGGAGAACGCAGATGGTTCCCTTGCCCAGTCATGCCCTTATGACTCGGTCAAAGGCTAGTGTTTATCTGCCCGGCCCTTCAGGAAACCATAACTGATCGCCGGGCTATAGCAGGTAGAATCGAGGGCTAATGTCATGTTGAATTGAAATGGATTCCAGAAAGAGAATGCACCCAACTTGCCTTTGCTTGTTTCCTGCTTTCTTGGCATTCTGAAGTCTTCAAATAGAATATATGACCGGACTTGGTACTCATCTGGCAGGTCCATCTTCGGGATCCGAACAATCGACAGCCTTGAAGCCCACACTTTTGTATGTTTATGCAGTGACAATCCTCGGGGGTACTGTCGACCCGGAGTTAGCTTCTCTTAAGTCCTATGGCCGGTAGGAAGTATGGGGCTAGTTTTGATACTTAAGTTATCCTGTGCTGCCAGCAGACGTGTTGCACGTTTTTGATCGACCAGAAGCCAGAGTCTCTTTCTTCTCTTTTCCTTTTCTCATGTTCCCTAAGCCACGCACAGAATACCCAGTCATTATGCGTGTCCTTCTTACCGGCGGCACAGGCAAGACCTCAGTACGCTTGGCCCGCTTTCTTCAAAATGAGAACATTCCCTTTTTGCTGGCCTCTCGTCGGGGCCCCTCCGCAGCCCCTTCCGGCATGCCAGCTGTCAAGTTTGACTGGCTGGACCAGTCCACCTGGAAGGAGCCCTTTCAATACCGATTTTCTGGGGGCGGAACCATCTCAGCCATCTATCTCATGGAGCCTCTGGTCGACGAGCCCTGGAAGCCCATGAATGAGTTTATTGACTAGGCACACAAGGAGCATGGCGTGAGAAGGTTTGTATTGGTGGGGGGTAGCTCCACTGAACTGTCGCACCCGGGCATGGGGATGGTGTGGCAGCACTTCCTGGACACTAGATTTGACTACTGTGTGCTTCGGCCCAGTTGGTTTATAGGTGTGTACCTGACTTTGAAATTGCTTTGATAGTCTTTCGGTGCGCTAGCTGACTATGAATTCACCTCGGTCGATAGAAAATCTATCCGATGAAGCTCCAAGTATTGTCATCCGTGATCACAACAAAATCTTTTCGGCCTGCGGCGATGGGAGAATTCCCTTTGTGAGTGCCATTGATATCGCCGCGGTTGCATTCAGGGCCATTACCGACCTCCAGTCACACAATTGTGACTACCGCGTCCTAGGACCAGAGTTGCTGACCTACGACGAGGTAGCCGAGAGACTGTCTGCCGCGCTGGGGCGTCCTATTGAGCATGTGAAGCTGTCTGGAGACCAGCGGTACGAAGCTTTGGTCAGCTTTGGAGTCTCTGACTACTATGCTCGGCTCCTGACTCGCCTGGAGACTGCGGCATCAACTGGATTTGAAACTCGCATGAACGATGACGTAGAGAGGGTGACTGGACGGGCCCCCAGGAGCTTTGATCTTTTTGCGCACGAGAACAGAGAGGCATGGAACTCAGTCAGTGAATGAAGGAACTTGGAGGCTGGGATTACTTGCAATATGAATGAGAATCGATTTCCCCCTCGTAAAGATTGTGTAAGATGTTGAACTAATGTAGATAGAGTTATACTACATGTGTACTTAGTATAGATTTCTTGCAACAATATTGATACTATTGAAGTAATCTCAGTAAGCTCTCGCTGGGGCTAGAATGTTAGCGTTCCGCAAAGCCCATTAGTGGGGTCCTATGCCTAAAAAGGGGGTTCAACTCCTATGTTTGTACTGTTTAGGGCCCTTTTAGGGCCTATTAGCCCAGGCCTATGGGCTCATCGGTGGGCCCGGGTTGGGCCTTGGGCTTTGTGGGCTCTACGGAGGCCCAAGCTAGATATACCAACACCTTGAAACAATTAGTCAAATTTTTATCTTGGGGGCACGATCCTCACATCTTCACTTAATGACGGCCTGCAGCGTGAGCAAGGGGGAGGTACTCACATGGCTGCGCCTGACACTCGTATCTCTGTGGTTGTTGAAAGGCACCAATATAATAGGATTGGCTGATTGAGGTTGCATCTGATAGGCACAGCAGATTCATCAGGCATTGGCAACGAGGATCTCGAGGTTGCTCAATGCAAGATATTGTATTTGGCACCATTCCAAAGGACTGGGCCATTGTCGCATGCTTCGTGCGCATCGCCTGGCGCAGAAGCTTCACATAGAGGATCATCAATATGATAGAAGAGCCCCCAAAAGACTGCTGAAAAGAGTAGTCTTGTACCTTTATATCGGAACTCTGTAGTATCTAAACATAATTAAAGAATTGAATAGTCCGGCATGCTGCAACATGACTGGATCGGGTACTTTGGGGAATTGTGGGACTCTTCTCCGGCACCTTCTCGTCTTCTCTACCTCTCTACCTCCCTTCTACATATAACCTGCATTCATCATAAATTCGGCTATGAGCCATCGGCTTGGCAAGTATATATCCATCCCCCAAAGAAGGCGAGATGGCTGCATTGAGTGTCGTCGCAAAAAAGTCAAGGTAAAGAGCCTATTTTTTGTCATTGAACATTGCTAATAAAACAACTAGTGTGATCTGAACAAACCCATCTGCTCGCGCTGCACCAGGTTTCCAAAGGAGTGCAAATATGATATCAATATCATCAACCAGAATGTAATCACGCAAACAAGGTCAAATGGGGCGAATCGTTGCAATGAGAGTGCCAACGAGAGCCTGAAGCCTATCGCTCACCAACCTGTCCTAAATCTATCACCATTTCTGCCGTCAAGAGAATCTCAATTTTTCATGCACATCTTTAGCACCGAAACTGCCCCGCGGCTGTTTCCCGCAGCCCCAGCGCTCTTCCTGCAAAGAATTATTACAAGTTCCCTCGAGACACCCCATCTTCTCTATGCTCTCCTCGCATGTGCATGCAGTCACCACAGCAGACTTGTCCAAGATACAGGACCAAATTCAAGAATGTCCTGCTTGAGGTTTACGAACTTGTCAATTTCCAGTCTGCGCTCAGCGCTCAATGAAACGAGTGCAACACTGACAGCTGAGACTGTCACGACCGCAATGGCTCTGTGCACTAATGATGTGTGCAATGGAAATATGCAGACTTGGCGGACTCATCTTGGTGGGGTAATGCGTATTTTGAGGGCGTTTCTAGATAAACAAGGAACACTGCCCATTGCTGATCCCTACATTCAGTGCTTGGTCAAATGGTTCACAACGATTGATGTTCTCGCGGGACTATCGGGACTCAGTACTAGTGGTGTGATGAGCTCTGATACAGGACTACTTGATAGGTTTCTTGATCCGTTGAACCCGCATGTTGACGATATATGTGGATACTCCTTGAAGTTGGCTCCGCTGCTCGCACGTCTGTCTCAATTGGTACAACGCCGTTATTGTACTAAGCCTGGAAGGCAACAAGACGTTTTGGCAGAAGCTCGAAGACTCGAGATTGGGATTCTCTCCCTTGTTGACTGCAATGTTTCTAGTGGAGACTCATTTGAGCTGCAGAGTACACATTTTGCCTTTGTACACTCTGCCTTATTACACATCCATCGGCGAATCCAAACACTCCCAAAAAGCCATGCGAAAGTGAAAGAGGATATCAAAAAAATTATCGCTGCGGTGGAACAAATCACCCCATTTTCTTCTGCAAATATATTGATCCTTTGGCCCATGTTCAGTGTTGGTTGTGAAACCGATGATAGCAAGGAACGCGAGTTTATCCACAGACGAATGGGCAAGATGCAAAGCCTTGGGATGGGAAACTTTACAAGAGCCCGAGAACTACTGAACAAATTTTGGGCATCAGAAACATCCTTGCCCTGGGACGTGTATTTTGCCAATCTTGGATTGGAATTGGTCCTATTCTAGGCGATCGGAGTGTGCTCAGCAGGCCAGTGGCAGCTTGTCATACTCATCATACATGAACTGTCTCAAAGTGTTTAATCCATCAACTATCACCCGGTTATCCTGAACGTAGCCCAGTCTCACATATCCGCGGAAGTCCACCCCACCCCCGAAGCACTGGCTTCCAGGTACCAGCATCACCCCGGTCATTTCCTGAAGTCGCTGACAAAACACGACATCGTTAATTGCCCGCCCTTCCCTGTCAACAAATTTGATAAACGCAGTCGTTCCGGCTTTAGGCTTTGTCCATTTCATAGCCCAACTATGCTCTTCGATGAATGCCTCGAGGATCTCGAGGTTCTGCCGAGACAGGCAAAGATTGCGCTGCAGCAAGTTATCCACGCATGGGATGGATAAAGCATGAGCTGCCACACTATCATCGATTTGACCAACCGAGATAAGGGTGTAATCACGAGCAGAGGCACAGGCTTCGATAATCTCAGGATTCGGCGAGGCAATCCACCCCAATCGGATCCCGGCCAAGCTGAAAGCTTTGGACATTGAACCGGTTGCAATGACATTTTCATACCCAAATTCAAGGATTGACGGGGGAGCTTCTTGACTCAAGTCAAGAGAATGGAACAGAGGTCGGTATACCTCATCAGAATGAATCAAGATACCATGCTCACGTGCCACAGCAACGATTCTTTGCAATTCATCACGACGAAGAATCGCCCCAGTGGGATTCTGTGGATTACTAAAGACTCCAATTAGTAAATATTTAGTCAATAAGTTATCAAACGCGATAGATACTTCAAAATGATCATCCTCGTGTTCGGTCTAATCAAAGATCTCAACTTCCCCAAATCCATGCCCCATCCAGTTCCCTCATCCGACCGCCATAAACTAACCTCCGCTCCGAAAGACTCAGGAACAGAGTATAATTGCTGATAGGTCGGATACTGACAAATAACATGATCATCCGGCCCGATATGAGTATAAAGCGCTAAGAAATTTGCCTGGATGGCACCGTTCGTGACGAGAACTCGATCTGCAGAGACGGGGCTCGCTTCAGAAGATTCAGATCGGGAATACAAGCTCGCGATGTTAGTCCTCAACGCCTCGGATCCACGGATCGCGCCGTAGACTTGCTTCTGTGTGAAGTCTACGAGATCCTTTTTTGGGGATAGGGCTAGCAGGTCGTTGAGTGAGATGGATGCGCAGCACGTTTCAGCTAGATTGTGCTTTGCACTGGTTTCGTAAAGGTCCATCCACTTTTGCATGTTAGTTTCTGTGTAACCAGGGGCTGGTTAGTAGAGTGGGATTGAGGGTTGCTTACTTGCTCCACAGCGAACGCGCTGATTCGGACCATTTTGAGCTGGGCTTGGTAATGCAAAGAAGGGAGTTCGGGAGATGAAAGAAGCAAACAGCATTTCAAAACTCGGATGATGGATTTTGAGGATGATATGTACATTTGTAACTTGTATCATTAGAGAGTAGATATGGAGGATGTGATTGGCTGGATCGCATACATGGCCGAATTAGGGAATATGGGGGCCTGGTCCACCGGAGCATGAAGTCAGTCATTTGCAGAAGATTTCTGTCCCAAGTGGAACATCATGTTGCGCAGGGATTGGTCAGGTCGGTTCCGTTGCCTAGTGGGATACTTGACATTGAACGGCAAGCTTGTGTCTGACCCGCCACTGATGGCAGGCTGGATTGCATATTATGATAATACACTAGACCTAAGAAGATATCTGCAAATCAACCTGACTCATGACTGTTCTCTTCCTCCTCCAATATTGTCGAGTAGGGCAGGAACTTGCGATCCTCGATCTGCACTTCTAAGTAGTCAAAGGATGGATTCCGGGGTTCGGAGTCTAGAAGCTCTCGTTTCACATGAGGCCGCCGCGGCTCATCTGACTCTTCTATTTGCAGGAGCTGTGATATGGTACTGCCGGTAAAATGTAGAATCATGCCTATAGTGGCTCCAACAAGCACAGCCCCGGTCATGAAATAGATGAACGCCTGTTACAGCTTAGTAAATCCTACTACCAAGGAGCCACACTGGGAAGACATGAGATATCAGAAATAACTGTCTCACTTCATACCTCTAGTATCACGAGGATACGCAATGGAAGCAGTGCCAGGTATAAGACAAAATGTCCGATGTAGATCAACGGCGATGCGAGGAAGAGAAGGGTCCCCAACAAGTAGGACAGTAATTGAGTTGTTAAGCCAAAAGCAAACGACAGAGGATAAATCAGGATTGATACCCAGCCCATGGTTTTTATGAACGTATGTAGCAAATCAATATATGCACCTTGACTCTGTTATGATATCCAAGTAACACGCGCCGCGGTCCAACTGCCAAGCCCTAAGCCCTATGTTACCGGATTAGGCTTCCGGCGTCATCGGCGTCTACATGTACTTTGACAAAGTAAGTACATCAACGGACTTTGATTACTGCCCACCGCCAATCCGTACGTTGAGCTGGCATCGGAAGTGTCCTCCTTCAGCCCGCCATTGTGAATTAGGTCGACCCTATTTTCTTCCCAACCCCTAGCAAAAACTCGGCCCAAACTCATCACATCTTTCCCCGCCTTCGATGGGCAACAACCCTTCCAAAGGCCCGGTGGGCGACACGCCGTCAGCCCATGCACACCACAGCTCTACAGGCGAGCGCAAAGTCGCTCGTCGATCCTCCCTCAATGCGATCTCTGCCCCCAAAGCCACCGCGGCCGATCCTTCAGCTACAAAGGAGACAGCCGCTGGGCACTCGGCAGGATACCAAGGATCTGTGCAAGAGCGCCTGCAATCCCGAAATGCCCCCGAATCTTCACCTAAGAACATAGAGAAGCCTCCGCCACAGAATGCACGCCGAGTCGAGTCTACCCCTGTCAAGGAGATCCCAATCCGCGACACTTCCAACCCGGTCCAGGTCCCGATCTCGCGCAATGTCCCGGGGCGCGATCCTGTGGCACCATCTGCCCCGCCTCTCAACTCGTACTATAGCGCATCGGCTCATCTACAACGTCCACCGCGCTTGCCATTGCCAATTGGCGATGCCAACACCACCCCTGGATCGCCTGTCGCTGGCCCTGAGGACTCGCATATCCAGTCGCTCCCCGCAGATCGGCTCTTGGATGAACAGATGGACCCGAATACTGCAGCCTCAGGTCATACGACCATTGATGAGGAGGAGTTACTTGATGAGCTCCAGCCATTCACTATCAGCGGCGCCGGAAAGGCCGTTCCGGTAGTTATCGAATGGACAGCGCCTGCTCAGAAGGTATATGTTACTGGAACTTTTGTCAACTGGGAGAAGAAGTTCCGTCTGCACAGAAGGTTGGTTAAGTGCCGATTTGGGATTCGTGAGACTCGACTAACATTCGATAGTGAAAATAATCCGTCTGTTATGTCCACTACTCTGAACCTCCGACCTGGCACGCACCACTTGAAATTCATTGTCGATGGAGAAATGCGCGCTGCGGATAATCTTCCAACCGCTGTCGACTTCACTAATCACCTGGTCAACTACATTGAAATTAGTGCAGATGATGCTCATGATAAGGACTCGACCATTCAGTCAGGAGCTCAAACTCCAAATGCAGTGCCGGATTCCTCTAAGCAGGATCACTCAAGGGATACAGAAGATCATCATCTAGAAAAGGAAGAAAGCGAAGAAGAGGTGGCACCTGGTGATTTCGGTGACGCCATTCCTCAATTCCTTGCCGATTTGGATAAGGAAGAAGAGAGCCCGGCCTATGTCCAGGCTGCCAATGTTATTGGAGACACGCCTACCCCTCCCAGTCTTCCTCTCTTTTTGGGCAAGTCAATTCTCAATGGCACAACTCCGATGAAAGACGATAGCAGTGTTTTGAACTATCCGAACCACACGGTCCTGAACCACCTTGCTACGAGCAGTATCAAGAACGGTGTCCTGGCTACAAGCGTGACAACCAGGTATAAAAGAAAAGTAAGTCACGGCTGTTTACACTTTTCGTGGATAAACTAATCTTTTTCTTCAGTACGTCACGACCATTTTGTACAAACCGACTGGTGATATCACAGAATGAGCTATGTCCAAACATATAGGCCGTTTTCAATTGCATGCATACAATTTTTTACCGAATACTGCCTTGGACATGTTGTGGTCTGTCCCATTTGCAGAGATAAGAAAGATTTACAAGCAATTTTCTGCCTTCTTCAACTCATTGACCCTCGCCAGTTTGCTTCCTGTCTGTCCAGGTGTTCTCGGGTTCTTCGTCCAGGATAGCAACTCGATTCGACTACTAGGTTGCCCTGTCATTGACTACAGCCAACACGCATGAGTGTGCGTTGAACAATGCATCTCGGTGAGGAGATCACCACATATTGCATATTTCTTAGGCGTTATTTTCATGTTGGGTGTTGAGAGATGATCTTGGGTCTTTTAGGGCAAATCATACAGCCTTACAGGCGCTTGGATTTATGCAAGAATATTACAAATGTCTGGAATGTGCACTTGAGATGAGTGATGAATGTTAAATGTTGAATAACGTTTTCCAACCTCATCTAGCCGAATTCAAAGGATATCGGATCTGACTCGCTCAATTCATAACACATGATAGATATATTTTTGGTTCAGCCAGGACATCGCTTGTTATCAATCCCGCCATTTCACAAACACTTCATCTGTGCGGAAGCGCTGGGTACAAGTACTCTCGCTCAAAGGAGTCCGGAATCCAGTCCCATATGCCAGCATACCAGCCTGCGCAATCATAATTCCGTTATCAATGCAGAACCGCTCATCCGTCGCATAAACGCTTCCACCGCGATCGCGTGCCATGATGCCCATCATCTCTTGCAAACGCTCATTCGAGCCAACACCACCAACAATAAGAACCTGCTTCGATCCAACATGTGCCATTGCGCGCTCGGTGATCTCCACAAGCATTGAGAAGACGGTTTCCTGGAGGGAGAAGCAAAGATCTGCGCGTGTGGGCTTGCTTTCCAGTGTCTGGTCCGCGACAGTGGTAGAATCGATGGCTTTCTGCTCATCTTCTCGCGCCTTCTCTTCCCCGCCTAATCCCCACTGCTTAGCGAGGCCATCGATCGCAGCCAGAATACCGGAAAATGAACAATCCATGCCCTTTACGACATACGGTAGATCAACCAGCTGCTTTCCTTGCTTCGCGAGTTGTTCGATGTTATATCCTGGTGCTGGGTCGTTGGATATGTGTAGTGTGCGCGCGAACCGGTCTAGACAGTTTCCTACTGCCATATCGAGAGTCTCACCGAAAATGCGATACCGTTGCGAGCTATATGCAATGACTTGTGTGTTACCGCCAGAAACGTATAGAACGACTGGGTTTGTTGCGCCGGTGATGAGGCGACCCATTTCGATGTCTGGAGAGTCAGATTGTCAGCGTTTTGTTTGAGTTTCAACTTTAGAATGTAGCGTGATATGTCTAAATTACGTACGTCCAACACAGTGGTTCACTCCGACCAGCTCTTTCCCCCAAAGCAGACTCAACATCCGCGCGGCGACCACCACGCTCTGTAGCGGGGCACCCATTCCGGGTCCCTTGGTGAAGCAAATGCAATCCACATCGTCGACGGAAACCTTGGCTTCTTTAAGAGCTTGCTTGACCAGCTTCACAACCCATAATCGGTGATGGCGTGCTGTATCCTTGGGTAAAAAGCCCTCGCCTGGCGGGGAGACATAGGTGTGTCTGATATTGGCGAGGACCTGCGGGGGGCTACCATCCTTAGGGTGCAGCATGATACCAATGCCCAGTTTGTTGGCAGAGCCTTCCATTCCAATTGCGATCATGATGGGCGGTATTTCTCGCAAGGTATGAGAACGTAGTAGATGAAATCCAATAAAATCATTGGCAATGTATGAGAGCTCGGGAGACCTAATTTCGTTATCGTTATCAACTCCTTAAAGCGGCACCCATCGGCTGACCGAACTAATCCCGAGCTACCCTTCTCGACTTTAGTTTGCCATACTCCCGACTCTCTTCTTTCCCCTCTTCTCCATTATTTTCTTCTTCCCTATTTTATCCACTTCGTTGGTTTCTTCATTTTACACCCTCCCCGTCCTCCTCCTTTCCCTCCCAAGGGATCTCTCCCATCATGTCTTCGACAGCCCACTTCGCGGATGCCGAGGGCTTTCAACAACAGTCTGACAACTTCATGTCATGGTTGCAAGCCAGCCCAGGTGTACAGCTCAACCCTAAGCTCAGACTTGCAGACCTTCGAGCAACTGGAGCAGGACGTGGTGTCGGTAAGTGTCCAAAAAAATATATTCTCGAGTCACACAAAAGCAACTATGGGGTGTGCTCAAAGTGTGGATTCCATAATTGTTTTAGCCAGTCTCTAATTTATTGCCTGCGCTCTAGTGGCACAAAGCAACATTCCGGAAGGTGAAGAACTATTCTCGATCCCCCGCGCCATGGTTCTCACCGTGCAGAACTCAGAGCTGAGGACTCTGCTTGGGGAGAATCTAGAAGAGCAGATGGGTCCTTGGCTTTCCCTGATGCTGGTCATGGTATATGAATATTTGCAAGGAGAAAAGTCGAGATGGGCTCCGTATTTCCAAGTCTTGCCTTCTCGTTTTGATACCCTGATGTTTTGGTCGCCTGCTGAGCTGCAGGAGCTGCAGGCTAGCACTATCGTCGAGAAGATTGGTCGGTCAAACGCCGAGGAATCGATTAAGGATTCTATCGCGCCTTTTTTGATAAAGAGGCCAGATCTCTTCCCACCTCCTCCTGGTCTTGCATCTTGGGAGGGCGATGCTGGTGCCGCCGCCCTCATTGAAGTGGGCCATATCATGGGGTCCCTCATTATGGCTTATGCCTTTGACATCGAAAAGGCCGAGGACGATGAGGATGAGGGAGAGGCTAATGATGAGAGCTACATGACTGATGACGAAGAGGAAGAGCAACTTCCTAAGGGTATGGTCCCGCTCGCGGATCTACTCAACGCCGATGCGGACCGGAACAATGTGAGTTTGGACATAGTAATTTTTTTTTCTCGGACCCCAATCCTAATCTGCTTGTATTAGGCCCGCCTCTACCAGGAAGAAGGTGCCCTAGTCATGAAGGCAATCAAGCCAATTCAACAAGGCGAGGAAATTTTCAACGATTACGGAGAGATCCCCCGCGCGGATCTGCTCCGCCGATACGGCTATGTGACCGATAACTACGCTGTTTACGACGTACTCGAGCTATCATTGGAGACCATCTGCCAAGCCGCAGGGCTCGCGAATGCAAGCATCGAGTCCCAACCCCGACTTGAATTCCTCTCGAGCCTCGACATCTTGGAGGATGGCTACGTAATCCCCAGACCTGTCAACACCAACCCGTCTTTGCAAGACATTTTGCCAGCTGAGTTGGTGGTTCTTCTGGCCACACTGTCTCTCTCCCCTGAGGAGTTTCAGCAGCGCGTGTCCAAGGACAAGGCTCCCAGGCCAGTCTTGGACGCCAATGCCACCGCTATTTTGATCAGGGCGCTGCAAAAGCGACAGGCGGAATACGCTACATCACTGGCCTCGGACCTCCAATTTAGGGATTCGCTTTCACCATTGCCTTCAGTTGGTAATGTAGATGAGGGAGCACGTCGAGTACGGATGGCCTTGCAGGTCCGCATTGGCGAGAAGGAGGTGCTGCAGGCTGTCTTGGGCATGCTGCAGCCCGCTACTTCTGGTTCATTGAAACGTTCTGCCAATGGCGATGATGATGAATCACGACAGTACAAGACCCAGAGGGTGTGAAAGCCTTTTGCTCTTGTCTCCATTTACTACGGCCGATATCAGTCTGTTCTACTGAACCCAACAGAACCAAAAAAAGTGCTTCTTGCGAGTGATTAAATTGTTTTAGATTTTCTGAATGTTTTTGAGCCTTTTTCTTTGCCCTCCCATTCGTCGCTTGCATCATAACTTCGGTTATCCATCATACAAAGGTTGCCCGAAATCAGCCAACACCACCGATATTCGGGAGAAAAAGAGATACTATGTACACTAACAAATGCAGACGCGCTCAGCCACGAGTGGCTAGCACCTGCGTCGGATCGAAATGTCGAGAAAGAGATGTGTGAGAAGAGGGTGGGCAGACAAGCGAGAAAACAAAGAAGAGGAATCGGGCATCAAACCAGCAACCTTCGCCGCCCGCGGAAATCATCGAAACATGAGGGAGTACTAAAACTACAAGTGTGGTAAAAAGGTGGAAAGACAAAGAGACGAAGGGATGAGGAAAACAGAGCCACGAAGAAAACGCCCGCCAAATGCTGTGAAAGAGGAAAAAGAGAAAAAAGGGTCGGTCAGGTCTCTGACACCGAGACGGCACTTGGTCCGAGATTCGACCCCGTGGAGCCTTGGTGCTGGCCATTTTGGTCCAGCAGTCGTCGCTGAGCCTGGGCTGCCTGTGCTTGCGCCTGCGCATGAGCCTGGGCAGCCACTGCAGCCTGTTCGCGCGCCTTGGCCATGGTGATAGCTCGGTGCTGCATGATTTGAATGCTGTACGCATCGGTATCATAATCGAACTCCTCGTCGGAATCTTCTTGATCGAACTTGAATCGGTCGGCCTTGAATGGGTCCATGTCGACTTTACGGGCGCCCATGTTTCGACGATCGATCATCAAACGGCCACCACGTCCAACTCGTCGTCGGAAAGATGGCATTCGGTGCGGTTCATCGTGCAGTTCCATGGTGTGCGATGTGAGCTTGTCTCTGGAGAACAGCGGGCTGGTTACGTCTAAAGAAGTATCCATCTCGCCAGATGATTCTGATGATGGAGGAGTGGGCAACTGTGCTGTGAATGCGGGTCGGAAAGCAGCCACATCGAAAGTTCTTTCTGGAGAAGGAGAGAGTGGTGCACGGGTGTGATCCACGTATCCCTCGTTCCACTTGATGTGCTTGGTGATGTTCTGCTTGATATCGCGCAGAATCTCGTTCTCTTTCTCGGCCTGGACATCCTCCAGGAGTTGCAAGTCCTCTGCACCTTGCCCAGCCTTGAGGGGCATGCGCAGTTGAGGAGCATTGGGACGTTGCGGTGGCATATCGAGCACTCTCTTTTTCGGCTGCGAGAGAATGATTAGCATATGCACATACTGAGCGATTACAGTAGCCATGCTTACCTTTTGGTTGATGAGATCCTCATCGTCGTCCTTGATGTTGAGCTTGCGCTTCATCTCCTTGACTTCGCATCGCTGCTTGAAGAGCTGCCGCTCCACAGAGAGCATTTCCCTCCGGGCAACTTCACGCTGCCGCACCAAAGCAACGAGCTCGCGAGCATCTTCCAGCTCTTTGCGAAGACGTCTGAGCTTTTCGGCGCTTTGCGCATCTCTACCACGAGTCTTGCGGATCTGGCGAACCTCGCGTCTACGGAAACAGACAAATGGATCACTGTCATCGGTGTCTTGACCAGTTTCAAACTGCGGAGATCGAAGTTAGTGATTTTGTATGGCCAATGGCATGAAATAATAACGTACCTTGAGTTGCGGTACCAGTGGGTTATTTTGAACAGCCATCCGGCGTGACTTCCAGTGCTCATATATTTCCTTGGCAAAAATTTTCATGGGATCTTCTAATGTGGCATCCATCATGTCTTGCATCTCTGCAAATGACAACACTGGGGGATTGTCAATCGACGCGTATGGCTGCTTAATCTGCGCAGTCTCCTCAAAGAAATTCATGACCTCCTCAAAGATATCCTCTGTGCATCGACCAGCAGATGGATCGCGCTTCTCATTCATGATCTTGAGGAAGACATCATCCTCCTCTGTCATGTTGTACGGGCATCCGCAGCAATCCTCGACGGTCGAGGAGAACCGAATGTACGTCGCAGGTTGCGAGAAGATGGGAGGATAAAGTTCGTCATATTGAAGATTACTGAGAATGGTCTCGGGAGTAGGGATGTGTGCCTCATTTACTTTGCCCTGGGCGGTGGCATTAATTGCGCGTTGCAGGTGAATTTCCTAACACGATCCTAGGTCAGCGCGAGTCATTTTATATTGAGGTGAAAATCTCGTGTCATTTTGGCGATCCCGTCACGTGACTGGGATAGGGATGAGGCTAAAATTAGGACTTACCGATTCCTCGGCTTTTTCGACGCCGGTTTCGATCTGCTGTAGAGAGCCCTGGATGTCATCGTCGATGGCATCGATATCTGACTCCCTGACAACGGGAATAGACGCCTTGGAGGTGAGCTTTTTAGGGCGCGTCCTCCCTAGGCCCCCGTACCGAGTCATAGCGTCGGGACGCGCAATAGGGCAACGACCATGGGCGGGGACGGGGTAAAATGGGAATCAGAAGAAAGGTCTGTTCATGCGCTTTCTCGTAGACGTATTTTTGAGGTGAAATTTGATGGAGGGGAGGAGATATTGACGGCTGAAGATGGGGTGATTCACGGCTGGCGGTTGGGTTGACGTTGTAATGTCAGCCGGCGGTGGCCTGTTTTGGCCGAGTGCACGGCCTCAGGGGCTCGCTTGCCTGTCTGCATCCGGTTAGTGCGGGGCTGGGCGATATCAGATTCCCCGGCCCTTGGCAATAACAACTCTGCTACCTCCTCTTTTGCTATCTTGCTTGATCTGAGTATTCGTATATGCTGTTTCCCTAGTCCTGCGACCTTTACTTGCCACATACCTCCATAACATAAACTGCCACTGCACCTCGTTTTCCTTTCCGACCACCCATCATGGACCAGTCACCCTCCACCAACGAGCCCAACGCTGCTGCGATTTATGATGCACGGAGACGTCGCGGCTCCGTGGGTACTACCCAGCTCTTCGATAACATTGTGTCTACATCCAACTGTACGTTTTCTACGGTCGGATAAGGTGTCAAGACAATGGAACGGGCATGTGACTGACTTTGCGACAACAGTCAACCGGGACGAGGTGGATCGCCTGCGCAAGCGCTTCATGAAGTTGGACAAGGTCGGTTGCGCATGATGAACTCAGAAGATGGTCTGGCATACTAAACAGTCTATAGGATGCCTCTGGTACTATCGACCGTGATGAGTTCCTCTCCCTACCCCAAGTTTCGTCCAACCCGCTCGCTACGAGGTTCGTTGCCCCCTCGGACATCCATACCCACACCCCCACCCACGATCTACATTATATACAGCTAGTCCCTAACACATCTGTTGTATGATAGGATGATCGCCATCTTCGACGAAGACGGTGGCGGTGACGTCGACTTCCAGGAATTCGTGACCGGCCTGTCAGCATTCAGCTCGAAGGGCAACAAGCAAGAGAAACTGCGATTCGCATTCAAGGTGTACGACATTGACCGCGACGGCTATATTTCCAACGGCGAGCTGTTCATCGTGTTGAAGATGATGGTCGGCAATAACCTCAAAGACGTGCAGCTGCAGCAGATTGTCGACAAGACGATCATGGAGGCTGATAAGGATCAGGATGGAAAAATTAGCTTCGAGGAGTTCACGGACATGGTGGAGAACACAGATGTGAGCCTCAGTATGACGCTGAGTATGTTTTGATCCGGTTTTTTTGTTTTGTTGGAGGTCTTCGTGCTGACTATGACCCAGATCAAATATGATTGTCCCTCTCACTGGTTGAATGGTGACATATTCAGTGGATGGTGTTTCTTCATTTCTTGGTGCTCGGCTTTTTCTTTCTTGGTCTCGACATGACATGACTCAATGATCAGCGACGTGTTTGTAGTTTATTTTCTCAAGTCCCAATATGGGAAGGACATATTATGAATCATCTTTCCCACAGCTTTTTTTCTCCTGGTTCTCGTCTTCCAACTCTGAGCTCAGGCACCCAGTGTCAATGCTACCCTGGGAAGCATATACCCCAAAAGCCAAACTATATTAACCAGCATGGTTGGCCGCTTATCCGACCTTGTGATGTCGCTTCGGTTATCTTTTCGATGACCATCTCCGATATTCTGCTTAGATGTCTTTTTTGACGTTTCCCCCATCTCGGCTTTATATAACATTGACAAGTAGACGGCAGAAAGAATGAAGAAGCTTAATTTGTGAAAAGGACTTCTCAGTGTATGACCTGAGAAGTACAGTATCAGCCCCAACCCCTTCCCCTATACATATCCACTCAACAACTCAACAAATCTACCTCATACCCCGGTCCCTACCTCTCAAATCACGTTTCGACAACCCCAAAACAAAGCCGTGACGTTTCAGCCGCATGAGCAACGCCCGTTTCCATCCAGACCAACCCTGATTTCGCACTCCCAAACTAACCTCGGCAAACACCAGTTCCTCTCGAACACCCTTTCCTTCTGGACTGCAGTCTCGTGGACCGGATGACGCCCAACAAGTCGGGTACGGGAGCAGCCACAATGACAATCCTTGTATGTCCAGCACATTGCGCGTGTCGGTGGCGCATCTACGGCTTTTTATTGCCTTAACTTTTTGCAGTCCACGAACTACGCTCCTCATTCTACTAGGCTGTGCTGTCCTAGCTGTTCGCCCAACCCCGGGCTCCCGTCATATCCCTGTCTGCATACATATTTAGTCTGTGCATGTGGCGACGCCGGTATGTATAAAAAGAAACCAAAAGCGTGGAAGGTGAATGGTATACAAAGTATGTATATACTTGTGTATGTGTACTCCACTGTGTGGGTTATGTATGTTGTCGTATCCATGCGAATTGATATCCCCCGAGTATATACATCTGTGACTACGGAGTACTTACTGTGTACATTTGTACATATTTGTATCTCTAACCCACACTATCTACACGCTTCATATCCACCATCCCTCGTCTTGGGGACGTCCGTGCTCCTCGCTGGGCAACCGGACTGGATGAGCATGGTGAGACGGTAATTTCGGAATTCCGAGGCACTGGATTCGCTGAGTCTGCAGTCTGAGATGGAGGTCGTACAAGGCGAGGCACTGATGTGTCGAGGGCATGGTGTTTTATCTTTCTCTTTTAATAGAACCATCTTATTTACAAGGGCAGGGGAGGAATGGAACAGTAACGAGGAGGAATGGAGAAGAAAGGGAACCGTATGAATTTACTCTTGGTCTACTTACCATTTACATAGACATCTGATGTAGGTATCAGTCTGTTTGTGGTGTGTTTCAGCTGGGAGATGACCTAAAGACACCCCTTGTCTGAGCCTTGGTCATGGGGTTGGGAAAGGAGATTTCGGTCCAAGTTTTGTTTAGGGATCATTCTAAGATTAGATATTCAGGTATGTTTTGTCTGACGTGTTTGGATATATAACCCTGAAACAGGGAGTGTCATCGCTCCAGACACGGCTAAAAGGATATATAGTCTCTCGTACGGAGTAATGAACAATCACAATGTATTCCTTTTTCGACTCATTACAAATGTCCACGACCACACCAGTTCCAGCCTCGTGTTTTGTGTTACCGGTCTATTCAACGTGTCGGGCTTCTAGTTGGGGACGATATAATATCGAGAGGCACGGTGATCTAGGAGTTCGATCAACTTACACGCGGATTTCCCGATCTATCCAATGGCCTAATTTATAGGGGGTTTTTTTTGTTTTTCTTTTCTCTGAAGAATTTGATTTCTGTCACATGTCGTACATCCGCAGATTGCATTCTGTTTCGGGGCTTAATTTGATAGATTTAAGGTCTGAAACGTCAGTACATTTACAGGTACTCCATACTCCGTACTCCATACAGAATATATAGGGTTAATGTGTCGAGTGAATCAGAACATATCTTCAGGACCCGGGTCCATGGGGGGAGTAACTAGTGAATGTCCCTTTAACCAGACTGCCGGATCTACTTTATAAGACAATAGGTAACTGGGGGAAAATAGCTTTGTCAGACAATAATTGCTTTTGGTATAGCCGTCAGATCCAATCGGGTATAGCTCCACTATTTGAAATGATTGGATCGACTCTCCGTGAGAATAATCTTATATATTCGCCCTCTATATTAATCTCGGTGCCATATCAGCCTCCAGTACTCCGTACTCCGTGCGCCGTACTGCGTCCTGCGTATGCACCTCTGCGAACTTCCCGGCTAATCTCCCCGGAATGTAGGTATCCCCCTTTTCACCGTGTTTACTTAATTGCCTTTAGGCTTTGGGCTTTTGCTTTTTGGATTTCTTTCCCTTTCGCACATTCTACGCAAGGGGAGAATATTCTGTCTCATGTCAACTCCTTCATTATCAGCCCCGGGCAACATGGACAGTGTTACACACTGAGGGAATGAACAGAGAGAAAGGAAAAAGAAAGGAAAGGTATCCCACCTGACCACGAGAGCTGAACCCCTAAAAAAAAAAGCAGAAAATCAAATAAGACAAAACCAATCTAATAAATCCACTAAAATGACAAAAATCCCTCGGGAGGGAGAGAGGCCAAGAACCATTGCACCGGGTTCCCGATTATACTAAGTGGAGTTTAGGTGTAGATCCTCGATCGCCGATCATATATTATATGGCTTTAGGGCTTTGGATGTTTGATATTTGAGATTTGAGATTTATATTACCCAGAAGCCCTAGTTTCTTCCCCCTTGATCTTTTCCTATATCCACTCTTAGATACCTTTTTTTTATATTAGATTCAATATACTGGATCTATCTACCTGATGACTATTTAATCGGCTTTCGGATCCATCACTCTCTACTCTTATTAATATTCTCTACACCTTACCCTGGTTTCCGAATTCCATTTAATTCCTGTCTTTTCCTTCTTTTTTTTTTTTTTTTTTTTTACCAAATCTTGGGTTTTAATCGTGTTGTTTTGTTTTCTCTATTACTTAAATCTGTGTTGCGGCTGCGTCAGAGGACAAGATTTGAATGTCTACTTGAACCAGGATCACCTCTCATCCTTTCTTTCCCTCCTATCTCGCTCTCCCCCCACCCTCAACAAGGGGAAGACTTCTTTGGGGGAGAAAAATTCCTGGACTCTTCAAAATCATCCAAGCTGGCATCCTACGCAAGCCCGCCGTTGTCCCCCAAGAATTGGGCTGAGCTTGATCTGCACCGATCCTGGGATTGCCTCATGGATGGCAACCAACGTATGAAGCAGAATGAAAGGTCAATGTCTCGGTCTGGAAATGCTGCTCGCAGAGCACCTGGTCGTGCAACCGATCGTTTCGACCCGGCCATACAACCACGTGGAGACCAAACGGGGATGTCGCAACCCCCGGAGCAAGCCCCGATGTCCTACGACTACGGATACACAGGCAGCTCATTTCACGGCGGTCCCCTGCAATCGAATGACTTACCAAACTATCAGCCCCAGGACTTTGTACGGGCCCAGCGACCTCAACAAGCGTCGTCTATTCAACATCAACGACGGCGAGCACCTCAGGACCCAGCATTCTCACCCTATGAGTCTAGCATGTTGTATGGGTTCGGTCAGCCGGGGCCAACCCAAGGCCAATTCGAGGCTGTGCCACAGTACCAGACACGGCAGTCTGCAGCCATTGATGTCTTGTCGAACCAATTCGTTTCACAGTATTTTCCACCAGAGGAATCTGCAGGGTCTGGGGTCGCAGGACTCTCGTCTTTTCTAAATACCCAACTCCAGTCTTATAACCAACCGGGTCCCATGGCACGCCCGAACACCACCCAGTCCTTTTCTGCACCTATCTCTGATTTCACTGTTGGTTCCGGGTCCATGAGCCGATTGGATCAGCCCCAAACAGAGGCCCAACAGTCGGATCAGCCCAGTCTGGAGGAGGCCATTGGACAATACCATCGCATATTGCGTCGTATTTTT